GACCTAGTTCAAAATGAGGAATCAGAATGAAATGCCAATTATAAACAATCATTAGAGAACTGTGTAGGATAATGACATATTATGTTTGTTTGTGGTCATATTTCTTGTGATATGTCAATGTAGTTGTAATTGTTGTAATATTTGGTACTATCAAATACTTATCTTTGGATGTATTGTTAATTTTGATGACATATTATGGAGATTGTAATGGTAAACTAATATTTGTTACATTTTCAGAAATGATCAATTCTTATGGAGATTGTAATGGTAAACTGATATAACAATCATGAATGTTTCTTATTGCAGATGAAGACATTTGACATTACACATGGTAGGGCTGGAGGTAAGGATAATATCTCTCTATGTAAGTATGGACAAGGGGCCATTAACCGTCGAGGGCAGGAACACACGTCATTCTCTTCACATATGCAAACAACATCACCAGATGCACAATCACCACCATCGGCAGTCCCAGAGACGCAGGAGACGTTTGTAGCTTCTACTGAAGAAGCAAATGAGGTTATCTGACTAATTATGCACATATTCTACATTTTTTATTCCAAAAAATTTATGTTCTCATTTGATTATTGGAATTTTTTTTTGTCTTTATCGCTTGTTCTTGTTAAGCAGGATCACGCTCCATCCCCACCAGAGGCTCCATATTATGGACCACCTCCGCATGTCATCCAGGATCTTGTTCCACGATGGGGGAGAAAGATCCTGTGGACAATCGTATATGGGTACGACTGACCGTCGATGGGAGCAAGTAAGTACAAGAAATGTTAATGGTAGTTGTGCTATTTTTTCAATACATCTTCATATAAGTGTTGACAATAATTTAAATGCATTGATCAATATAATCAAATTACAATCTATTTCAGCATTGAACCATGTGATGTAGTGCGCAAAATATGGGGTATAGTCAAGCGCAACTATGACGGTCCATACCTACATATAACGCAGTTCCAACCAATGTCAAGGAGAACTGGTTTAACTCATTGATGGTAATGTTACACTTTAAATCTCACCATATTAATATTTATGTATGATTAAAGGTTTTTGAAGCTAATGTTGATATTTTTTCTAAATTGTCTTGTTTCATCCTTGTAGGAAAAATATAAATACTTGCCGGATGACCAATATCTTTTTGATAAAGCATACAAGACCAAAGCCACTGACATAATCAGAAATCACTTGAATTTGATAAGAAAAGGAAAGGGCGATACGTCTTGGATGAGACAAAATGTTCTTGATGGTTTGAAGGTTCACTGGTCTAATGAAAAATGGAAGAAAATGGCTGAAGCAAATAAGAGGAACAGGTCCAAATTTGACGGACCTTCACATTCTGGAGGTTCAATTCCATTTCATGAGCATGCAAGGCGGTTGGTAAGAATACTTACAATTTTTCATTTGCATATAGATTCATAAAATGGTAAGCCATTTTTTATACTTAGTGTATTATGTTCCGATTGTTTTATGTACATATATACGCAGCAGGAAGATGGGGTCACAGATCCGTCCGCCGTGGATAGGGCTGTGTTCAAGCATACACACACATCTAAAGATGATCGTGACAAGTGGTGCAATGACAAGGCAAAGGCAACAGCTGTGAGTAATATCTATTGTTACACCAAATGTTTACTTTCGAAAGCTGATTAGTTTTAGTGCACCTGACTTTAACACATCAATACTTTCTATGTAAATTTTAGGATGGCTTTACGAGACTTAGGGAAGAGAGAGACAGTCAAGTCATTCCAGGAGAGGATGCTAGCAGTGTTGCCTCGGATAATGATTTGATCGTGCAGGCATCTGGTGGGGTTAACCGTAAAGGACGGGTATACGGTTTAGGTACACTGGGAGGAGCATATAAGAAATCTTGACTCTCCAATAGGCTACCACTTGGAGTGTCTCAGCAAGAGCATGACAGGATGCACACATTGATTATGCAGTTGCAGGGTACAGTTGCACAGCAAGAGGAGAGGGTTGCACAGCAAGAGGAAAGGGTTGCACAACAACAAGAGAAGGCTGCACAGCAGGAGAAAAAGCCTCTGCAACATGATAGTCTTATGGTTATGATGCAGAGGCGAATGGACAAAATAGAGAAGCTTTTGCGAAGGCTTCCTGAGGCATTTTTAGATACTGAGGATGACGACGAGACTCAGCCCCCGTCTCAGGACCTAGGTGATGACTATGATCATGCAGGTCATCCACCAGCATGACTTTTGTATCTTTGTTGGATGTATATGACATGGACTATTGTACATAGACTCTTTTGATTAGTATATGATAGGGACTTTTGTATATGTATGTCCCTTTTGATTAGCATATGTCTTGCTCATTTATAGATATATGACACTTTTGATTAGTATATGACAGAGACTTTTGTATATGTATGTCCCTTTTCATTAGTATGCCTCTTGGACATTTATAGATATAAGACTGTTTTTATTTGTGATAGGGACTTTTGTATATGTACGTCCCTTTTGATTAGCATATGTCTTGGACATTTATATATATAGCTTTTTTTTATTAGTATATGATAGAGACTTTTGTATATGTATGTCTCTTTTGATTAGTATGTCTTGGACATTTATTCATATAGGACTCTTTGGATTAGTATAGGACAGGGACTTTTGTTTATGTATATGTCTTGGACATTTATATATATAAGTCTCTTTTGATTTGTATATGGCAGGGACTTCTGTACATATAAATTATAGTAAGATAAAAAAATTTTGATATGTTACTTTCATTATATTTGTTTATCAGGTGTGAAACATAAATTGGTATTAATTTTGTAGAGAAACAAATGAAAAAGCAATTTCGTCGAAAATTGAGACAAGATTTTTCGACAGAATTATATTCAATTTCTGTTGAAATTTTTTGACGGAATTAGTTTTCTGTTGAAAATCATTACAAGATTTTTCGACGGAATATTTTTCTGTCGAAAATCATTACAAGATTTTTCGACGGAATTTCATTCATTTCCGTCAAAAAATTTCGACGCAATTTGTTTTCCGTCAAAGATCATTACAAGATTTTTCGACGGAATTTCATTCATTTTCTGTCGAAAACTTTCGACGGAATTTGTTTTCTGTCGAAAATCATTACAAGATTTTTCGACGGAATTTCATTCATTTTTCGTCGAAAAATTTCGACGGAATTTGTTTTTCGTTGAAGATCATTACAAGATTTTTCGATGGAATTTTATTCAGTTTTCGTCGAAAATTTTTGACGGAATTTATTTTTCATCGAAAATTGAGACTATTTTTCGACGGAATTTCATTCATTTTCCGTCGAAAATTTTCGACGGAATTATTTTTTCGTCAAAACTTTCCACAGAAATTATTTCGTCAAAATTTTTCGACGGAATCTGTAATTCTCTCGAAAAAATTGTTACCCACGAAGATATTTTCGACGACTTCATTTCCATCGAAAACATTATTTTCGACGAAATTTTAACCATTTTCGACGGAATTTTACTGTCGAAAAAAAAACATTTTCTAGTAGTGTTTAGTCTGTTTAAAAAAAAATAAGACAACAAAAATTTATCTAAACAGAATATACAATCAACAAAACTAGTAATTCCATAAATATTCATAAATTCAATGTATATCAAAACAACATAATATAGAACAAAATCATTTAAAAAGTCTGTTTAACCAATAAAATGTGGTGAAATGGATTGAGGAGTAAGAGAGGGCTATTACAAGTAGAGCCGGCAAAACGGGCTCGGCTCGGCGGGCCAACCCGCCAAATAGGGCGGGGCGGGCCGAGACGGGTCAGTGTAAAATAGGCTCGGGCTGGCGGCCCAACCCGCCCAACCCGCCAAACGGGGCAGGGCAGGCTGAGTTTTTCAGCCCACTTTCAAAAGCGGGACAGAGCGGGCTGACTCATTTTTTGGCGGGTTAATGGAGGGGTAGGGCGGGGCAGGCCGCCCACTTTGCCACCTCTAATTACAAGTAGTATAAAAATATAAAATAAAAATAAAAATAATATACTAGACTAGCATGTGAGGCTCTAAAGCCGAACTTTTGAATTCGAGCATGAGACCTTTTTATTAAACGAGCTTTTATAAGAGTTCAAGCTTAGTGTCAACAACCAATTTTAGACATGTAAGCTCAAGCTTTCACGAGCCGAGTCAAATGCCCCTGGTTCGTTTAGCACCCCTAGACACAAGTCACTTTATTTAATCTTTACAGAAATAAATTTTTTTTATTCTCAATTTTTTTTAGAATAATAATACTCATAGTATAAATTTCTTCGCATATCTTAGCTTATATATAATGAATTAATTTAACTATTAACAAATTAAAATATCATTATTTAAAGGAAAATGTTATAGTTACTACCTTTTTTTCTTATTACTTGTTACTACCAAATTATAACCGTTAGATTGACGGAAATCAATGGTTAAAATTTGATAGTAACAAGTAGTAAGAAATAAAGGTAGTAAGTATAACCTCTCCCTTATTTAAATTACAATTTTTTGTTTAATTCATTTTAAACTCATTAATTATATTTTTAATTACATATATGTAATAAACAAACACCTATTTTGTAAGTGTGTATCAATAGTGTATTTGATTCACTGTTAGAAATTCCAGAGTGATTATTTAGATTAAAAAAAAAAAGGAAAAGTATGTATCATCTTAAAGAATGTAAAGTTATTGAATTGATCTCTTTGGGGTGTTGTTGTAAACCCCTTATAATACAAAAAAAAAAGTTGTGTCATTTTAAGTAAGAGAAAGAGACAGATAAGGGAGGAGAGAGAGAGTGGACAAAAAAATATAAACGTGTGAGTCTCACCTCTTTGTCAGAACGAAATGATATAAATTGTGTGATTTAAAACAAGAAATACTTTCTCGTAAAAAAAACATAATATACGATCTTTTACCTAAATTACAATTTGAAACTTTCCAAAGGAAAATAAAGCATCAAATTTTTTGGGCAGTCTTGAATTTTTGGGGTCATAATCTGTTATAGTCGTTTAGGGTTTGTGTCTGTTATGGTTGCCTCAGTCACAATCGCGCCAAGTCTTGAATGATCCTTCACATTCACAATTCACAATTCACAATTCACGTAGCTGAGACTCTGATCCTTCCAATTCTTGTCGTGCCTCGCATTGATTCTCGTCGCCACCGCCATTGCTGAGATCTTCACACTGAACTAGCATGTTCTCCTTCCTTTCAGGTTCTTCCTCTCTCTCTCTCTGATATTCAAAGTTTGATTGATTTTTGTGCTGCCCATTACGTATATTCCATAATTAGTAACGTGTCATGCATTTGTTTGATTAAAGAAGGAATTTTTACTGCATTTTTTGGGATGGAGACTTGGGACCTTCGATGGGCAAATGCATTTGGAGTTATTTTTTTGTCATTGTTAGAGTATGGATCATCAAATATTCAATGCTTATTTATTTTGATTTTGGGGTACACAGAAAAAAAGGAGTATGCAACGAGTAGGTGATTCAATTCCCAACTATGTAGGACGGATTTGGCCTTTGTTGCTTCCTTAGATTAATGAGATTTCCTCAATGACCTTTTCTCCTTGTTTGTTGCTATAATTGAGCATATTGGAGAGGTTGAGATCTTTTGCATCAATATATAGCAAGCCTCTCTTACCCTTCTCAACCTCAATTTTTCCATTTGGTAGCTTGAAGGATGCTATCCCTGGTGGTTTTTGTTCCCTCACTTGTTGTTGTCACCTGCTGCTGTTAATTCTTTGCAACCTCTTTATGTGTAACTACCAAAGGAAAGCTTAACTTCCTCTCCCTCAAGTTAAGGTGTGTCTCTTCTAGGTCAATAAACCATGGTCTTGCTTGTTTGGACTTGTGTGCGTGGCATTGATGGTGGTTCGACCGTGACTTGCTAGTTGTTTAAAAAAGGAAAGGTAATAGACATAGCAACTATTACCTTCTAACAGATTTATCTAACCAAAGTAAGTTCCCCATAAATCATTGTAGCCATGGTTGGACTATTTATTATTATTGTTTAAAGCATATTATTATATGAAAATCCTTCAAAGAAAAATTTATTGACATAAATAAGCATACACACTAGCTGTTCCAACAACCATTGATTTCTCATATGATTTGATAAAATTGTGTCTTTTTTACCCCAGCATTACTCTTGGTATTTCTATGTCTTCAAATTGCTTTAGATTTATTATTTATAATTTTTTTAAAAGGAAAATATCATAATTCTAAAATTTGACTGGTCCTCTTTAAGGAGACTAGTTTACCAGATTACTGATTTGATCAGGTAGATAATTGACCCAAAAAAGTTGATTAATTTTTCTCTCTCCAGTTTTTACTTGATTAAGCAGATATCATTGAAAAACAAATAGCATATTCAACCAAACCGATTAGGCACCTAGGCTACCAAATTTCCTTTCCGACTGGCCGAACTGGTTTGATTTTTATATGTATTGAAATCCTTTGCTTTCTCCATGTAAAGTATTTAGTGACAAGCTCATTTAAAAAAAAAATTTGACTAGTGATATTTTATCTTCATTTTAGGTAATTTTTTCGGATAATTTTGTGTTATAGATATAAAAATCGATCTTATTTCTTTACTTGATAACTTAGGCATTTAGGAGAGTTGGTGCTTAATATGGTATCAAATACTCTAGTCTATGACCAACTGATCAAGAGTTCAATACTTGCCGGCCTCATTCTTATAAATTAAAGTTGAATTTCAGCAAAAAGTAAATTTGGGCCTTGTGAATTATGCACACTTCAAGCCCAAAATGTGTCGTGGACAAGGGGCCATGTTAGGGATACAAAATGGATTTTGTGCCTTCTTTGTTACGGCCGCCTCACAATTGTGCTAGATCTTCAACGATCCCTTGCTTTCACATCCATACAGCATAGCTCGTTTGTCACATCTACGACCCTTCTTCACCCTCTCCCAAATCTTCTCTTGCCTCTCTCTTATTGCCGCGTCATCAACGACTTTCGTCCGCTTCGGCACACAAATGGACAAGTAATGCTTTAATTAATAGAATAGTTTTATCATATTTATAAAATCTTTATCAAATATTCTCTCGTTGCAAATTAAGATAATTGATAATTTTTGGTAGAGATGGAAATTATGAAATTCAGATGGCTTTTATTGGAAGCTAGGGAAAATAGTTAACTCATGAGAGATTTCACAATTTTTTTGGTTGACTTTGAGAATATAACAAATTTGATTTTGACTTGGTGATGAATTGTGGCTCTTCATTACAGAATGAGGATTCATTTAAAGTATTATATTTATCAAATATTCTCTCTGTTGCAAATTAAGATAATTGATAATTTTTGGTAGAGATGGAAATTATGAAATTCAGATGGCTTTTATTGGAAGCTAGGGATAATAGTTAACTCATGAGAGATTTCACAATTTTTTCGGTTGACTTTGAGGATATAATAAGTTTGATTTTGACTTGGTGATGAATTGTGGCTCTTCATTACAGAATGAGGGTTCATTTAAAGTATTGTATGCAGATATATGAATAACAGCCCCAGATCTTGAGTTTTCAATTTATTTTCTTTTGTTTTTCGAAGATGCCAAAATAGATAGTGATGTCCTTCTTGTTTTGTGGACAAATTTGAGACTGAAAATGAATAAACCACTCCATAACTGAGTTGGGGAGGGCATTTATTTAATGTATTAAGTAATTTTTAACCACTTGATGCCTTTCAAGGAATTGAGATTTGAATACTGACATAAAACTTAATGCTTGTCAACATGTATACCTTTTGTGGTTAGGAGAATTGAAAAGAAGCTGCTGTTGCTCGCTTGTCAACAGTGTTATAATAGACATGATTTTTGGTTTGCAGATTTTTCATGCTTGGAAATATAGGGAGAGTTGCCCAATCTATTCTTAGAATCCATAGAAGCAGGTATCTGGAAGTGAGTAGAAATGGGGCTGTTTTCTCAGTTGGACCGAGTATCAACCAATGCAGGATGTACATGCGATATAAGTTTCCTAGTGAAGGACGTACTTCATTCTTGTGGCAGGGGACAAGAGAAAACTTTCGCAAAGGCTTTTCTTTCAGAAACTTTTCCGTAATCTCAGCAAATAATACAGCAGCACATAATTCTCAAAGAGCTTGGAAATTGCTGTACAAAAAGTATTCTTCCAATGATTACAGTGGATTTACCTCCATAAATATGATTGCTCAAGCAGTGAGCTTGGCTTTGGTTCGTTCTTATTTTCTGGTTCCTAGTATTTTTGCATTTGGAAGGCTAGCACTGGCTCAGCGGAATCGGGCAGACGCAGAAGGTTACCTGTCACAGAATGCTTTGTATATGCATGCACAAGATGGGTACAATTACATGTTTGCGTTTGCATCGATTGTATTAGAAGGCCTTGTCTTGCTTGTGAGAGCCATCTATCTGGCAATATTGTTCTCTCCAAGCATACTGATGGCACCACTTGCAGATTATTTTGGACCGGAGTTCAGAAAAGTGTGGCTCCGGGTTGTTCATCGCACGCTGGAAAAAGCAGGTCCTGCATTCATAAAATGGGGTCAGTGGGCTGCTACACGGCCAGATCTGTTTCCTAGAGATCTATGTTCTAAGCTTGCAGAACTTCATACTAAAGCACCTGAGCATAGTTTTAGCTACACAAAGAAAACTATAGAAAGAGCCTTTGGTCGAAAAATTTCTGAAATTTTTGATAATTTTGAAGAATTGCCTGTTGCATCTGGAAGTATTGCCCAAGTGCATCGTGCTTCTTTAAAATATCCTTACCCAGGTCATGAAGCCAAGCCCCTGGTGGTTGCAGTGAAGGTTAGACATCCTGGTGTGGGAGAATCTATCAGAAGGGATTTTGCTATTATCAATATGGTGGCAAAATGTTCAAAATTCATCCGTGCACTTCGCTGGTTAAGGTTGGATGAAAGCGTTCGTCAGTTTGCTGTTTTCATGATGTCTCAAGTAGACCTTGCCAGGGAAGCTGCCCATTTGAGCCGCTTTATTTACAATTTCCGTCAATGGAGGGATGTATCTTTCCCTAAGCCTGTCTATCCACTTGTGCATCCTGCAGTTTTGGTCGAAACATATGAAAACGGAGAATGTGTCTCGCATTATGTTGATGAACTTCAAGGACATGAAGGGATTAAAAGTGCCCTTGCTCATATTGGGACTCATGCACTTTTGAAGATGCTTCTGGTAACATATCTTTCATTTACTTTTTTTTGTGCCGTTTACAGTCTTGTAGTTGGTGATAGAATGGCTTTTAAGGCTTATTTTGAGTATTCTTGGTTTGCTATGCGTCATCAAGTGTAAATCATGATAATTGATATGTCCTGAAATGAAGTAATTATGGAGTGTAGAGAGAGAGAGAGAGAGAGAGAGAGGAGTCAATAGTTCAATTCTTACCAATGATATTCTTCTAAATAAAAAGTTATATTACAGCATAAGGTGAGATGGGCTTGGGCAATGTCCATGTTTGAAGTCCCAAGGACCTTGCTTGAGGGGGTATGTTAGATATAAAAGCATTCATGAGTCTTCACCTAGTTATTTAAGTTTATGGGAGAGTTAGTTCTTGATAGTACTTATTTCTCCTTTATCTCTACTAAATTGAGAGAGAGAGAGAGAGAGAGAGAGAGAGAGAATGATGTCGAGAATTCAACCTTTATCAACCCTAATCTTCTCAATGAAAAGTTGAATTTCAGTTTAAGGTAAGATGAGCCTATACATTGTCCGTGTTTCAAGCCCAAATGGCTCTTGCACAAGGACGCATGTTAGATATAACCTTCAGCTAACAACTTAAGCTTTTGGGAGAGTTGGTTCTTGATAGAACCATTTCTCTTTTATCTCTAATAAATTTTCTTCTTATATCCATAAAGAGGTCTGCTTTTTGACTGCACTTGTTTGATCTACTATTAATTATTTTACATCTTTATTTTAGTATGAATAAGAAGCCCGGGCATTTTTGATAGTTTTAAACTTGAGCATCATAAAGTTTTAGCTTCCGTGACATTGGGATGTCTTCTTCAGGTGGACAACTTCATTCATGCGGACATGCATCCTGGAAATATCCTTGTTCGAGTGTCTCAGAGCAAGCCTCCCAAACGGCTCTTCAAATCAAAGCCTCATGTAATTTTCCTTGATGTGGGCATGACTGCTGAACTCTCTGGTAGTGATCGGGTAAATTTGTTGGAATTTTTCAAAGCTGTTGCCCGGCGAGATGGTCGGACTGCTGCAGAGTGCACGCTTAGGTTATCAAGGCAACAGAACTGCCCAAATCCTAAGGCTTTTGTTGAGGTACTTTGTTCAACGTGCAACTTTTTTGGTAGGAATAATTGCATTATTGACTTCTGTTTCTGTGGATGAGCATTGCATGGGGTTGGAAAATTAATTTGTCATCTAGAATTATACACACACAAGAGGGCGAGTCTAGAGCAGTGGTAAAGCTTTACCTTTGTGACTGAAAAGTCACAGGTTCGAATTTGGGAAACAATCCTTTGCAATTATGTAAGGGTAAAGCTGCATATAAGGATTGTCACCCCACCCTTGTTAGTTGGGGTTTAATGGGGAGTGACGGTAGAATTATACACACACACAAACAAGGTTATCAAATCTTATCGAATCTTAGAATTTAGAGACACAATGAAAAAATCCCTGAAATATATCATATCCTGATGTATAGTGCTCATGTAATAATTCTAAACTTGAATTGACAAAATAACTTAACCATAAGTGTCACATTAGTCATAACTGGGTCACATAAAGCGAGTAGATGAAACCTATGTTTTAGAAGAACAAAAACAAAGCAATGTGATATAGCCAAATAAATTGCACATAGAGAGAGTGAGTGATTATGTGAAGTATTTGTTTCATAAGAATAAAATAAAGCAATGGAATAGCCGAATACGATGCATAAAGTAAGCAAATGACTGTGTGAAGCCCCTATATTAGAAAAAAAGGTATATTTTTCTCATGTTACATGAGATAACATACCCCTCCTACTCATACATCAAAAATTGTGCTAGCATTTATTTATTATTTTACTTTTTTTTAAAAGAATGGGTCACACATGCTTTGTGTCTATAGCATAAGATAACAAGTCTCCTACAACATGAGACTTGTATTTCCCTTAGAAAAATGAAAACAGTGCAATGAAATAATCTAATAGGATGTATACAGTGGCGATCCTTTAGTTCCTTTTCATATTCAGAATTTGAACTTATTTGACTTTTCAATTTCTTTTATGAGAATTGATGCAAGAAAAGCAAAAAAGAAAAGAAAATTTAACGAATCATTGAATTGTTTGATTCATATGGGTAACACAGAATCACACTGGTTCATGCATGTTTTGCATGATGAAAAACCATCTTTGATTCATCCATGATATGAATCGTTGGCTTGCCAAATCATATTGAATTGTACAATTCTAACTCTCTCTATTTATATGTATATGTCTTTCAGTTCATATGTTTTGTTCAACTCAGAAAACTTTGTGGTTTGTTTTGTGGTCTCTATTGTCAAAGTTTATGTGCATATTAAGATATTTTATATATGTCAATGTGCAGACTTTCCTGTTTGATTGACACTGAATATGCAACAGCATATTTTATGATAATTTTTTCTGTTAGCCATTCACATTGGCTTTTTATAGACTGCTTGATTTGCTAAAGATATAGGTATTTTGTTATTCTTACGTAAGTTCATTCACTTTGGACTTCTTGGTTTTGATTCTGAGCTATTTTCCTACATGGGTTTTCCTATTTGTTTTCTAACAGGAAGTGGAAGGGGCATTTACCTTCTGGGGAACTTCAGAAGGTCAACTGATTCATCCTGCCGACTGCATTGAGCAATTACTTGAAAAAGTTAGGCGACATAGAGTTAATATTGATGGCAATGTTTGTACTGTCATGGTGACCACCTTGGTTCTTGAGGTAATTCTTTGTCTTCTCTTTACCAAGCTCACTAATAATATGTTATCTACCACTGTAGGACAGTTTATTTTGTGAGACTCATGCATGGACACTGGTGAAAGCATGAATAAGATTTACACATACACCAAACGGTCTACTCAACTGTCAACCTTGCTATGCACTTTACTATTTTTAATAGCTTATGTGACTTACCTAATATTTGCAGGGTTGGCAGCGCAAGCTTGATCCTTCGTACAATGTGATGCATACGCTGCAGACATTGCTCCTTAGAACTGATTGGGCAGAGACACTTTCTTACACAATTGACGGGCTCATGGCCCCTTGAGGAGGTTTCGTTGTTCGTTGATGTTCTGAAACAATTTTGACAAGAACCAGAAACATGATATGTTACTAAGGGGCGCTCTTATATTTGTCCTTTTTTTTGGTTCTGTCTCTTTTTGAGAAACTTATCCCCATTCCAGCAGTTTATATTGTGTGTCTATGCATCACAGTTTTTACAAGAAAAGGTTAATAAAACAGTCATTGTTTGCGCCCCTTATATTGTTGTGCACAAAGAAGCTTGATAATAATTTGTCTCGGCTTATGTTGGAACCTGTTTGATAATTGGGATCATACGATTAACTGATACATGTCAAGGTTAACCATAGCCAAAAATTTTATTTTCCCATATGATTAGTATTGCTGGTTGATGTAACCAAATTACTGGTTGTGATATCACAACTGAGTTACACAATCTATACACCATAACATCCAACCAAAAAAGAAAAAAAGGAAAAAGAATATCCATCAAATTTAGTGGTCTCTTATTTTCAAACTTTTTCCCTATTCTCTTATTTTCAGTCTATTATGAACAGGAAAAGGAAAAATTTGACGCAAAGAAGATTGTATAATTTGGTTGTTGCAAATTAAAAATGCGGGAATTATGATTTAGCCAATTATTTATGACCAGTTACCCTGTTCTGTCATTGTAGATATACTTATAATTTCCAAATGAATCAAACTAATATTCCCCTTTGAACCATGCAACATTCTCGAAGAGTTTCCTGGATTTTTTTTCTTAATAGTTGATGCCGTGGATGATCAGTAACCAGGTTGGTTAACGTTGAGATCCAGTATTCGGATCAATTTGATATTGAATCTCGTTGCACTTGTATCGTTCAAATTAGCATCCAATATATCATGTTAGTGTTACCGTGGATAACATTATCCATTCCTAAATAAATTTAGTAAATAAAATCAACAATTTTGAGTTTGGAGTCATTGTGAATGCAAAAAAACCTCTTTGAGAGAATTAGCTCTACCATAATGTAGATGTTTTTGACTCGAACAAGATTGTCTTCCATGAAAGATATCTATTATTTATCTAAAAATAATTCAGAGTTTCTACAATGAAAGATATGGATGTTTGTCAATCTGTAAAGGTCGGATAATTAGATTGATGATGATAGTTTGAAAATGTCAAACACTTTTAAGGGCATGCCTAAGCAAGGATTAATCTTACATCTATGTATCAAAATAAAAATAAAAAATTTTACATCTAAAGGGTGAAGATCTTGTTAGAATAAAAATAAGTTTTAAAATTTTAAGAGTTTGGTAATTAATCCCCAATTTCAAAAAATCTTATTTTTCTTTCATTTTATCTTAAATTTTTAAAAATACATTTTTTTTTTTGAACAATTTGCATTCCTTCTTTTGCGGTTCTTTATTTACAAAATGAGATACAAATGAGTTGAAAAATAGAGCTAAAGTTATCATTCTCTAGCGATATAACGATAAAAAAATTTCATAATTATTATGTTATTGAAAAATCATTTTCTCATGTTATTAGATATTGTTTTCTCATATTATGAGATATCAAAATCCGTGTTATTTTTTTTTAACAAGTGGTAAATCCCATCATTTTCTGTGCCTATGACATTGAGAGATACTACATCATGCGACATATGAAATGATAAGCCCTGTGATATGCGTTTGTTTCTACAGAGTATACGTAAATGAGAATGATCTTTTAACTTCTTACCAACATTTCATAAAAAGATAAAAAAAAGTCGTTCAATTTATTGTCCGAATCCACTCCGTATGAGTAAGATAAAATAATTTTCACAGTAGAATAAATTCTGGGGTTCATCAAATTGACAACTTCACAGAAGAAGAAAAATACTAAGAGATTATGTTCATGATTCAACTTCAATACAAAATTCAGTGTAAACAGTTGATAAAGACCACAAGTGCTTGACCGTTTAAAAACAACATGGGAAACCCCCTAAGGGTAGCTCAGTTGGCAACTGAGCTCCCAACGGTTTGCTTGAGTCAGGGTTCAAACCCTACCTCAAGCAAATTCTTAGAAAATCTTTGAGGGCCAAAGGATGTGTCTCTCTCCTCGAATGGGGGGATTAGTCTCATCCTTCCTCCTGTAACAAAGCTCAATGCACCCGCTGTTTCAATGAGGGGCTAGTCTACATGGCCGTACCCCGAGAACAAGGTGACTGGAGAAGGTTGAATGGGGATACCTCCAGATTATACCAAAAAAAAAAAAAAACAACATGGGATGGAAAATATGTTAAGACAAAGAAGGGATGTCCATGTCATGATTCATGCAAAGTAAGCCTACTTTGGCAAATTAGATTTGTAGATTCAGGTTCTGACATACAAGGTTGTGGAGTGTTTTAGTTTTATATCTAGTTGATGTCTTTCATTTCACCTGTAGCTTAAAGAGCTAAAAAATCCACCCGGGTAATGATCAAAATGTTAGTTTAAGCATTCTCAGACTTGTAATACACATCGATCTACGCGAACGATTATGAAGAATACCTACCACCTGGTCTATTACACTATTTTCATAAATAGCAATGTACTCCCTTGCATTTAAAACTACTGAAAAAATTCAAATTGAAAAAAAAAAAAACCGAGCAAGTGAATTTTAAAAGAAGGAAGTTGGTTGCTATTTATATGGTAATGGTGTTGACTGAATAATTTCTTCTCTCTCTCTTAATATTATCAAATTTTTCTTCTAGTAAACAACTGAAGAAATATATACAGACCATAAAATTTTATTTCAAATTCAGGTAAAGCATAAATGTCACAGCAGACAAAAATGGATACGGACTGAAATTAATCAATTTAATAAGTACCTTGCTAGATCTTGATGGGTTTGAGCATTAATCTATACAAAAATGAAAAAAAAATATGGTAGGGAGGTTGAGACATGAAGAGGCATTTAAGTATATTTTAGCTGGTGTAGTCATGTTTTGCATGTAAGCTCACGTATTTCTTTGATTGCTGTACTCATGCTATAAAGTGCCATTTTCTTCACCTGTTTTCATAAACACCAAAAAGAGAAAAGGCTTGTTAATTCTATGTAGACAACTAAAAGAAGAAAGCAGGAACTGGTAAATTATATTATTGCAAAATGTACCTCCAGCTTGTCTACTTTAGCTTTATGGTCTTCAGGCAATAGTCGAACCTCGTCAATCAACTGTATACACTCCTTAACATTTTCAGGTGATACGAATTCCAATGCCACATGAACACAACACTGCAGATCAAGAAACAAATATTTGTTGAGTATTCACACTCAATTTAGAGCATATCAAAGAGCTACATAATCCAATATTGGGGTAACGATGTCGATATCCTTCATCACCAATCATACGGAAATTAGCGCGATTAATATTAATATTGTGTAAAATATAGTCCAACAAGAATGGATATCAAGTTCAATAACAATATAAATTCAACAAGGTTTCTGTTTTTTAAACTAACTAGGAGAGAGAGAATATTTATACTAATGCACAAGACCTTAGGATTCCTTATTTGGTATGGACATCCAGCAGGAATGATGACAGCTTCTCCAACATGTTGCTGAAACGTCCATGGTTCAATCTCTGGTAACAGTGCTAGGTGTGTCAATTGAGCTATCTAGGATTGCAACAGATGATCAAACAAATAGAAGTATATATGTACTTACTAAACTCCTCCTTAAGTCTCATTTTGTGATTACTGTCAAGAAAAATGCTCTGATCTAGTATTGGATGAACCATCTGCAAACAAGAGAAAATCAATAATCAACAACTCAAACAAAATCCTTCAAGGGAATAGTCTAATTTTGAACTTACCTTCTTGTGATAGTTATGGCCATAAGAAAATTCATCATGATGTCTTTTAAGGTATTCTATGAGCTTTGGTACATCTTGTCTACGAAAGACGTCCCACTGGGCACCCGAACGCACAGTAAACTTATTTTTATCACTGTTTGAGCTTTCAGATGGATTTCTAGGATTATGGTTTGCAGGCAATTTAGTGGTTTGAACAGTACTATGGAGAAGTAAAGAGGGTTCAGAATCAGAATCAGAAAAGAAATCACATTCTCCATCCTGGGAAATATTGCTGTCTAAACTCTGACTAGCAGGTTTTTTTGCTTCAGTAGAGATGCAAGATGTTCTATTGACTCTCCTGAAAAAGTCCATTTCTTCTTTAACCATACTGTGTAAGCCTTTTTGTTCCATGTCTTCAGCAGGCAATAATGTTATTCCTTTTACTTTCTGTTCCTGCAGCTGCTCAGTAGCAATTGAAGACTCCATATGACACAGAGATTTGTGTTTTTTCAGTAATTTTCTTATTTTCGTAAGCTGTTCAGTAGAGAGGGGGACATCCGTGGTATGTCTCATAATATTAACCTGGAATTACAAATCAGACACAGAACATAGCATGGATTATCTACACAAAATTCACTTTACAAACTACAAAGTGCAACAGAGCACTGTTTTGAGAGATAGAAGAAATCAGTTGCAACTTTAATTTCTAGGTGTGAGCCACCAACATAGGCCAATTTTAAATGTTTATTATAAAGTTAGGCCAATTCCTAATGAATTGATTATTAGTTGGACTAAAGATTTGATTAAGTTTTTGTTCGAGTATCAACTTTCCAACTTGTTTGAGTAAAAATTGTAGGATTTGGACATCTGTAAGCACTAAGCACATAAGATGCAATATTACTATTATTGAGAAAATATTTAATTCCTAAACTCCCAGACCTGAAACGAGCATATAGACAAGGGAACAGGGTTTTTATTGCATATAATCTAAACCTTATAAGGTACAGACAGTCTTCATGACAAGCAATAATTCCACGAGGATGCTTATCACTTCAGAACATGAGATCCCCTCTAAGTTATCACGACAGGATAATGCACGAACACAGTTTTTTTCACCAGAGGAAATATCAAAAGAGGCTTAATCCATAACGTGCAGAAAATAAAATGACTTAAAGTGCAGGCCAGTATTACTCCAGATATATTTAAGAAGAAATCAAGTGCAACATAACATACCACATCATATGAGTCATAGGAGAGTTTTGTCACACAATCAGCTTCTTTGTCAGCACAGCCATATGAAATATAGACATATGGCCCAATGTCATGTTTTGCACTCCCTCGTGGCAAATTTGCAGCTAAATTCAGAAGACCATACATGGGATTCATGTATTCTTGAACTGGTAGAGCATCAATTACCTCAGCAAAATGAGCTGGAAATTGCTCTTTGAATATTTGGGAAGAAAGCCACCCCTTTAGTTTCAGCATCTCATGACAAATGTTTTTCTGAGGACGACATTTTAGAGACCCAGTAAAATACTGCCTAATGTTAATTTCCACCTGCCAATAATAATACCCTTTAAACAATGGCATTTTGGTTCAAAGGCAGCATCATCATTATTAAGAGCAAGGTTAACAGGTTTCAACATACAGTGGGAATATGTGTTTGCACATATTCTCATTATAACCAATAGCAATAACTATGTACACTAAATTTTAGTCTATAGTTAGAAAATACATTGAAATGAACAAATAGTACTGTCAAATAATTTTGAACTTTTTTGGCCAACTAACATTATCACTTTAAAAGTATCGTGACAAATACAATATACAATTGGTTGGTATACTGACCTCACACCATTCCAAACAAGATGCAAGTAAGTCCTTATTATTCTCATATCTTGTAATGCTCTGCTCAAGATATGTACAGAACATGATCAGGGGATCCCAACTGAGATTTGATGTACTTTGGAGCACATCTCGCACTACTATAGGATGACCTTTTCCCCAGTGTTTCTGAAAGTGCTCAAAGTTATCACCACTGATGTCCAAAACTGTGGGGCAAAACAAGCAATTATCTATTGAATCTTCTCTTTGAGCTGCTTCTTGCAACTGCTTATATCTGTTAGTACTCTGATCAGTGTCAAAACACAAAGAGCAGCTTGAACTTTTATCCGAGGTTTCAGGAAAATCATAACTGCAAATAATTTCTTCTGCCTTCACTTCCATCTCTTTTATCCAACTAGAGGGAAAAATACATCTCAAATCAAGGTAGCTATTACCACAACCACCAAGCTCTGTGGGAAGGCATGATACACTATCCATACCATTACCATTTGTCCACTCGGGCAATATTGAAGTATCAGTGAATTTGCCACTAGAAATGGCGTTCTCATCCAAAGTGTAGCTATCACTGGCAATGCAAGCTTTTATTTCATCAGGTAGCTTGAACATAGATGATTTAACTTCTCCAGAAGTTCTTTCTTGACTTAATTTCTGACAACAGCTTAAGCATAGGCTATATGAACAACTAGGGCAGCTTCTATGGAGATCCAAAACAGGTGTTTTGCAGTGATTACTGAGACAAGTGTTATATTAGTTAACAAGCAGCACTGGAAAATCATTTGAATTTTCTTAATAGCATTTGTAGAAGAGAGCTTACCAGTAATTTTTCTCATTGCAGCCAAATTCAACCTGCTTGATTTGAATTTCAGAAATATTTTTCCCTGTCACACACAAAGGCATCTAAGATAAATGTGTTATAATCAACAAAAGCTGCTTCAGAAAAAATCAATGATAGAAGAACAAAAATTAATACCTTTAATTTTTGCTTCTGTTTCTAGCTCAGTATCCTGATCTTTACTTATTTTCTTTAGTACTGGAAGGAGCATGCAGATCAAATAATGAAAATGCAATATTCTACATACTCTGCTTTTACCAGCAAAATATTCCTGAAACAATAGAGCATAAACTGAAGTGTCAGCATATGCTACTAATGAAAAACTATTCAAGCAGAACAGCATCCATGTTTGATATCAGACCTTACTTTCACTGTCTTTGGATTGACTTTCCAAGCAGTCCTTACAAGTGCAAGTTCCTCGACAAACTGGACATGCCTTCTTAACTTCATTTTGAGTGTCAAAATACCTAAAATTGTTTCAACAAATATTGGCAAGCGTCTCATTATGATTCTCAATTTAAAAGGAACAGACTACACAAATCATACAGGTAAATATCTTGGCACTAATCATTATTGAGCTATCTGGTATTGCTATTTCTATAAGTTGCCAAAAAAGATGATGAATCCATAGGCATGAAATCAATTTTTTTTCAGTTATTCTTATTAACTTCTGTTGACAATGATAATCATTCCACACATTTCTTTTGACTACATCAAACAGGGTATCCTTTCATCTCAGGAGGAGCTTTGGAATCACACATGAAGAGTCTCTAGCTAGGCGTTTAACTGATCAAATTATGGTTTCTAAATTCAAGCTTCTACATTGCCCCATAAAATCACATTACAAGAGTGGCCTTAAAGAATCAAAATCAACAAGTTTTCAAATGGGAATAAATAGCCCACAACGTAGATAAAGCACCTTATACATGAGGACAACAACAACGAAGCAAGAAATTCAACATGACAAGAAACTTCGAAACAAGTATTCACAGAAAAGGTAATGTAACACAGGCTCAGTCTCATGCTCAACATTCGGGGGATTAAATGAATTTAACAATAACAAACCGTTCTTTAATGCAATCCATGCAGAAAAACTCCTTAAGACAGCTCGAACACTTTATAAGATTCCAAGAATCACTTCTCTGGCACCAATGACACTTCTTCCTCTTAGTCTTACTTTTCTTCAAGTTTGGTTTATATGGTACAGCCTAAACAAGAAAAGGGATGAATAATTTAACACTCTCAAAATAAAATAATAAAAAAAATAAAAAATAGAACAATACAACTAATGTTCTGGTAAAAACCAACCTGCAACTTCCCAACAGGGACCCTCTCAACATTCTTGGACCTGAAGTAACGTGGCGTAACTGCTTTATGATCAACACCCACTTTCACATCACAATGTGAACCCACATTGTTGTAATCATGGGGTGTTGAAGCTGGAGAGATTGCCATTACACCATTGGGCAATTCTCTCCTCAACTCTCCTTCGCTATAATTCAATTCCTCTCCTTCTTCATCATCTTCCTCCTCCTCCTTCTTTTTCTTGTTGTTGTTGTTGTTGTTGTTGTTCTTCATCTTTTTCCTCTTCTCAACCTCTCTTTTGAGAACCATCTTTATTAACTCCAACTGCATATCACCTTGCTTCAAAGCCTTCTTCCTAGCAGGACCAACAACCAATGCCTCTGAACCCTCTGAAAGCTTCCTCTTTTTCTTCGCCATTTTGCACGCTTTCCGTGCCCTAATTTCCACATTGTTGAGAACATAAGGGTCATTCTTCTTGCTCTTTCTCTGAAGCTTCAGAGACTCTGGAACCTTCTCCTTGAATTGGCGATGGCGACCTTGCAGGTAGTGAATCTCACACAGCTTCAGCTTCTCCATCACTCTCCGCCGGCACCGCCATTGCCGCCCGTCCGTGCGCCCGCAGCGGAGATGGTCCGGCAGAGCCTCCTCCTCCTCCTCTTTCGCCGCCGCTGATTTTTTCCCCATAAAAATTCAATTTTTTTTTTCTGGGAGAATTGGGATTTTCTCGGGAAAATTTGCTAGGAAAAAAGTGAAACCTAAGCACCCCAAAAAACCCGTCTTTTCTGCAGAGAGCGCAGAGCAAGGGAAAGGGTTTTTCTGTTTTTCAGGCCCAAAAGAGTGTATTTATTGAGAAGTTAAAAAAAAAAAAACAGTGAGAATAAGCATGGCATATTCTCGTAATTATGAGCAAATGCATAGTCCTATTTGGTCTCGTAATCTTCAAGATTGGAACAAGTGGGATCATTGATTATATCAGGGAAGATCGGGACTATTCAAAATCTTGTGATCTTATCATCTGTGATAGAATGCAAAGTATTTCTGTCAAAAGCAGGCTATGGATTTTATTTATTTTCCTTCTTTTTTTCAGCTCTTTTTATTTTTTATGGACCAAGCTTTTGGTTCCAAATTATATAACAGAATCTTTGGGATAATTTGTTGTGTTAGTTTTTGGGCAGATTTGCACACTTTTTAGTTTCTTGGGCTGAAATCAATTGCATGTGTATTAATGATAGTGTCCTGATATGTAGCATTTAGCTTTTGATTAAGCAAGTTGGATATAAATTACATTATAAATTCTTCAATGGCCAATGCAGTGACCAATGTGGTTTGTTTTGGTTTGTAGCTGCCCTTGATGCATATATAGGAGTATAAGCTTTTGTTCTTTATGCTATCAAATCAGACACTGTTTTTTATATAAGCTAATTGTGTGCAATCTTTTCAGAGATACTGAGGTCTGACCATATTGGATCAATCTAGGAGTGTTCTTTATTGTTTTAGGTTCACTTGTATTATAATTTGAAGTTTTGAAAATTACTTCCTTGAAAGAGAGAAAGAAAAAAAATAAAATCAGAAGCAATTTTGCAATTCAACCTTTTCCTTTAATTTTGTTTTGTTTTGTTTTGAGTAGCAGGAATTTAGAAGTCATAAGTGCAATAAGCCTTTATATTTGATTCTTATGCTGGAGATTAGCTTTTTTGGGGGGTTTATTCGTGTAATTAGAGCACTAAAAGTGTAGTTATTTTTGGGCTGCAAAATCATTAACTGTTTCTTGATAAAGCCCGTATTTCTCGTGTCTATATTGTATTAAAGTATTGGGCTCGTAATTGAATGCAGAATCACTCTTGTCATCAACGAATATGGACACCTACCAATTTGAGTAGTTTTGCTGTCAATTGTTAAGCTCCATATGGAATATCTCAGATATAATTCTGCAATTGCCATTGCAATAAATTTAAAGAAGTGAACTTGAAAAAAAAAAAGGGCAGCTACCATACCAGAAAGCTCTCTCAAGCATCTGAATTCTTTTTCTTTTTCATTTTCATTTTCATTTTTTTCTCTGTAGTAAACCAAGTGGCTGAGTTCCTTAGACCTTTTTTTATTTTATTATTTTGGTTATAAGTGCAAGAACTATCCAAACCTTACACCTTAAGATCACATCAAATTTTAAATATTTAGGTCCTTGCCAATTGAAATATGAACTCGATGTTGACACTTCATTTGACTTTGATGTTGAGAGAACCTTTGGCTAATATTTATTGCTGTGTTTTGTTGTGATGTCAAAATGATTGTACGAATTGAATAATGGGAGAACTTTAAGTAATGTGTAAGAGTAGGAGAACCTCATTGACATTAGACATGCATGCGAAATTCAAAAGGGAAAATATAAGAAAGTTTCGAGAGAAAATAAGAAATTGGCGTCTACATTTCATGATCTTGCTCAATTGCAGTTTATAGAGAGAACTTTAGTGGCAACCAAGGACGGCCTAATGTTCATTCATTTTTTGTTGCACTACTATATGACATAATGTTATGTTAAATCAGTTTTGCCATCCACATTGGACTTCTCATTTATTGAGAGTTCATCCTGTATATTTTTTTTTTGAAACAAAGAGTTCATCCTGTATATGCTGCAACAGAAAAGAATTGAAATTCTAAAATCAAGTGCAGTGCTTGTAATCTGATAAAAAGAATTTCTAAAATCCAATATATTTAGTGATAGCGTCAAATAAATGTCATATTGAACCAAATGATGCTAGCTTAGTTGGCGTTAAGGAACTAAACAAGTGAGGGTAACTACATGTGTTCTATCCTTTCCAATATCATCTTTGGAAGAGGTTAAAGCCTTAATTTCAGGACCCGCCTCGAATCAGACTAATCGCGAAAGAATGAATTAATTGGAATATCTTCAAAAAAAAAAAATGTCTTGTTGACATGATGATCCATTCCAGAATTTCAGCAATTACAATAGTTGAAGCGTGTGGGATTCACCAAACTTATAAATTGACACCTCATGGGGCATTGTTTCCTGAAAATAAGAAGGAAAAAAAAAAAAAAAAAAGCTGCCAAATTTCATTAGCAAAAGGGTAGAATAAATAGAGAAACATAACCTGCATAATTATATGGATGCTTTCCACTTCGAATAATCCCATATTACCAAAAAAAACATGATTGAGTGCAGCATCGATGACAATAATACTAATACCATTAATTATACGCGTATGGCAGAGAGACATGAGCTAGTGAGGACTTCATCAATGCTGCACCCAATGATGTTTTTCTAATATGGGGCGTTTCCATAACTTCGGGAGATCCACATTTACGTTTTACAAATTTATGGTCATTGCATTTGCATCTGTTATATAAATATTAAATACAATGAATATTATTTGTGAAACTTACACAGAATGTACAATGTAGTACACCAACCATTCGTTCGTACTACCATTTCATTACTTGACTAGTAGTTAACCATTGCTCTTTTATATATCATTATCAACTATTGCCTATTCAGCATCATGGAATTATTTTAATGGTTAATTGTACCAGCATGAAATCTTGTACTACACATGGAAATGTATATCATCTGTTTTGGTCAACAATTATATTATTCCTCAATCCTCACATAATTTTTTGTTAAAAATATGAATATATATGACAGTTAAAGGTAAAAAAAAAAAAAAAAAACCCTTGTACATTGAAGAAATGGCAAGAGATCCTTGATTATTATATTCTAGATATGTATATGAATAGAAAGATTAGTTTATGATTTGTAGTTATTTTTTGGCATTTGCATTGATAATTTCAAACTTTGCGTGTGGCCTGTGGGCAAAGTAGTAGCTTCCTGTGCCTGTGGAAAATGTGGTCCAGCAGCCTAAAAAGGAAAACAGAGCCTTTTATAATGAAATATATTAATATTTTAATAGTGTTTATGGCCTTTTTACCATCATTCAAGGTACAAAATGAACGAGAGAAAGCCATAGAACTATGTATATAGTTATGACTACAAAGAGATATTGAGTTTTTTTGTTTGTCCTTGTACTTTTTGTCATCATTATAGCTTTGAAAATATGATAATATTACTCTGATGTTATATATGAGAGAATTTCTCACAAATCAAATGTGTGTCACTTTATATTTTCTCTCTCTTCTCCCTCCTTTAATTTGTGAGTGCATTGGAAATTTTTTCTCTAATATAATATGAGAGAAATATTTCCCTTGAAAATATTGTTGAGTTTTACATAACATTGTGCAAAATGGAAGCATCATATGATCAAGCTATAAAGAGAATATTCAATAAAATACGGTAAAGCTTATTACTTCTAAGATAAGTAGCTTCCATTGAACACATTAAGGATGAATCCAAAAAACAACTTGCTTTCGTATTTTTTTTTTTTGTCATCTTATAATCCCGATTTTTCAGTTATTGATAACTTCCGTGTAAAACTGAGTTGCCCCTCCTGACAGGTTACTTGTTTTTTTTTTTTTTTTTCCATCAAAATGAACAACAATCTATTAAGTCTGGTTGATTCAATTTCCAGTTCAATCGTGCAATGGATTTGGCATGGGCAAGCAAAATTTTGCCTTCTGAAATTTTCCACCTCTCTATATGCTAGACTCATTAGAAGTTTATTTTGGTCCAATTTCTGGTTCTGGAATTTGATCCTTTGTGAAAATTTATAAACAATCATTTCAATTGAAAAGTTTAATAACTATTTCAACCCCAAATTTTTTTATTTTGGTAAATGTTGGCCTTGCTAAAGAATATGCAAGAGATGCGCAAGTATACGTAATTACAAGTAATATAGGGTGTCTTTAAAATCCAATATCATTCTCACAAAGATCTTTTTGACGAAAAAGTACCAAAGAAAAATAGCAATTGCTAAACTAAATTCTAAAGAGAAATTAAAATTAAATTGGTTACTGAAAATAAGAGAAATCAGAAGTTACTCTTCACTGTAAGGTTTTGAATTAAGAAGTGATGTCAAAAAGAACTTGTTCACTACATAAAAAAATTGAATTGTAAAAATTATTTTTGTCATTTTCTGTTGATAATATTTTCAAGAAATTGTGAAAAACTTAACTGAGTAAAAAGAAATCAGAATTTAAGGCAAAATGTTTAAGAGTTCTAATTGAAAAAAATTGGGCTGGGTTTTGATTCCTTCCCCACAGCTCTTGATGCAATTTACTTAAGAAAAAATTCTTTAAAAATTCTTTTTCCGTTAGCAGACATTTGTAGATTTTTAATCCCTTAAAAATCTTTTTTCCTTTTTTTCCCAAACACTTATCCCTAAGTTAATGAGATTAAGAGCTTGAAGCTCAGGTCCTCATCACCACATGGAGAAGTAAAATCTGATAAGAAATTCTCCCTCAAATAAAACCATATTTGAGTTCATGAATTCAACTCAGTTTCCAGAAAAGGATATTTTCCAATACCCTTTTTCCTAACGCACGCATAATCTATTCGGCTGAAATAGAAAATGCATTCAAATAATAATCAAGAGTTAAGCTTCGGAAAGTAAACATTCATATTAGAAATGTAAATTGCATCATTCACTGTAATTGGGATCTCAAACACCCAACCCTTAAAGAGTTTAGCTCATACCCATAAGGGTTGAGCTACAGAAATGAAGAAACTACAAAGGAAAATAAAAATTGCAGAAAAATAAATCCATAGCTCGAGAGCTATTCAATGAGATAGCTTTGTCACTGTGCTCAGCATTCAGACTAAGACAACCAGAAATTACAAGATCCAAACATGCAGAAACAAAATAAAGAAAAGAAATGTAGAAGAAGGTCCGAGAGCAAAATTACAGAAGAAGAAGCCTACAAAAATTATCCTTGGTCTTTTATACTCGATCCTCTCTCATGCATGGGCTTTGGGCCCTTTCACCACAGCCTTCAAGTCATGCGCTCCTTGCTGCGAGTTACACGAGCACTCCTTGCTCCACGCTCTCTCAGATGCTCCACCAAATGGATTTCCTCTGCACGCTTGTAACAACCTCCACGTCACGCTTCGGTTAGGGTCAGGCTTCTAGAACTTTGGTCAACTGAGTCGCTACAAAGAAAGGGCTTTTGTGGTTAGATGGTTGACAAGGATCAGATCGATTGGAGCGGCTTGGTGGTTTGTTGTGGCTGGTTCAGCAGAATGGGTTCGTGGTTTTGTGTGGAGTTGTGGCTGTTTGAGATGGTGAGGTGAAGTTCGAAGGCTAGGTCACGATTTGGATATTTTTGTGACTTGAGGGGGCGTTTGGTAGAGGAGAAATTTTTGTTTGTCTAAGAAATAATTATTACTGGAATGTAGCAGAGAATAAATTTTACTGGAATGTTACTAAAAAGTTGTTTGGTAGACTCATATTTTTCCAGAGAAATGAAGTTAATTTTACTGAATTTGTGTTTGGTTAGTTATGGAATATTAGTGGGATTATGAGATTATTTACCAAAATAACCCCACTTGACACTATTTGTTAAAAAATTGTACAAACCAAGGGTAATAATCATACAAATGAAAGGATAAAGTGGTCTATTCCTTGGTGGGTCACTTTTAACTTTGACTGGCAACAAAAAATCTATCTAATCTATAGCATTCCAATGATACCAAGAGTACATAAAATTACACACAAACTATTTTCCACAAAAAAAAATATCTGGAAAAGTTTGATGTTTTTTATACCAAACATGGTATGGTTATTCTCCCTATGATGCTTTCTAAGGAAACTAAAAAGTAGTCTAGTACCAAACACACCCTGAGTGTTTAGGGTTTGCGTGGTCAAGAGTGAGTAACAATATGAAGCCTTTAGCATTTGTTTTGGACCACAACTTCTCATGGTTCTCTTCTCAGAATGTTTTTGAATTGGGCTTGGTTGGTTTAGACACCAGCCCATTTGCTTTGTGTTTCTTTTTCAGTTTGGGCTTATCTCTTTTAAACTCTACGGCCCATTTCTTTCACTTCTTTTGACCTGAAACATACAAACAATCAATTAATTTTTTACTCCAAAGAGTTTTCAACTCAGTGTCATTGGGATTTAAATATTAGCCAAAAAGTATTCTTCTTCTCACATTTTATATCAATAACCATGTGTTCTAAGTCATATTGCATAGACTTATCAGTAAATAACCCCGAAATTTAAATTGATGGATGAATGTCACATTAATAGTTTTATATTATATTTTTCTTACACATTTTCTCATACAAAAGCTGGACAATGCGAGCTCTAATATCATTTAAAGAATTATTTCAATTAAAAGATTTAAATATTATACATTAATAATTTTATATTATATTTCTCTAATAAAAAATTTAATTAATTAATTAAGAAACTGAACTTTACAAAAGTCTTTGGCACCTAAAAATATTGGGTATGGTTCATATTTCGCATTCAGATAATGATTCTTATTGGTGGCGGCCTAACGAGGGTGTCAAGGTAGCATCCCTAAACCACGGAGGCCAAGTACAATTGTGAGTCTCGAATTTATTTTATTTCATTTCTTTTTAATAGTTCGAGTTTAGGTTCACGAATAACATTATTGCTTAGGATTTCTAAGCTTATTTATAGTCTTGTAATTTGAATTATTTATAACGAGTGCTGTGAGAAGAATATAATACATATTATTCGACTTAACCAACATTAGATGAATCATGATAAATCTGTGTCCTTGTTTTCGATTTGCAATTGTGTGTATAATTGTTTGGTGTCAAAAAAAAAAAAAAAAAAACTTTATGGGTCTAACATTTTGTCTATATATTATTCTTTTCCAATTAATAACAGCTCGTAATTTTGAGAAGGACTTCAAAAGCATTCACAGCAAAAAAAAAATATTCTTAATTTGTTTCTCAAAGTCATAATAAATAGTTGCATAACTAACACAATGGTTAATAATAGCAACAACTGACTGCAATCGTGAACAGAGAACATTTAATTTTTTTTTAAAAAAAACATAATTATTAATTGGGAAATAGTGTCCTTTTCTTTTTCCTTCTCCTTGTTTTTCCTCTCTCAATGAATTTCCACCAAAGCCAAAAAAAGAGAGCAATGAAGGTCAAATAGTAACCATTTTTTAGAATGAATTTTCATAAACAATATATGGAGAGCTAAAAGCTAGCTATGTTCTTGCAGAAGAACTGCTTAAGAGCTTTCCTTCTTATCACGAGGGCAATGAAACTTTGCTTCACAGAAGTTGATTCACATAATGAAGTTGGAGTGAAGAAAAAGCAAGGCAACATTTCGATACCGCACTAAGAAAAATGGCCTTGAGACTTCTTCACGAACTCCCAACTTAAGCATATATATTCCTTAAACGTCTGTGAAGAACATCATGTGCATAACAGTACCATATAAGAATGCATGAGAATAAAGAAGAAACTGGACATTCTGTCTCCAACGTTAATTATTGAACTGCAATTAGTAAAAACCGATCTTATCAAGATATGGGAACATAAAATTTGACTATATTTGTCAACACGTGCAACGGCCATACCCTAAGGCATGACTAACAGATTAACTATAAAAATGACGATATTTATTAGAGAAATTAAGTTGGATACTGAAAGAAATCATATATATATATATATATATGATGTAGATATTTAACTCTAATAATTATGTTTTTCAAGCATCTTTTAACAAAGCTAAAAGAAACAAAAATAAAATTAGAAGAGAACAATTTGATTTCTTCTGATTTGCTTAAATCAATAATGTATTCTTTTTCGTAAGTAATAATTTAGCCTTTTGTTAGGAAAAATAAAAATAAAAAAAAATAATTTAGCCTTTTGTTAGGAAAATAAAATAAAATAATTTAGCCTTTCAAGATAGTAAGTTATGCTCCTAACATAAAGTTTGGGCCAACTAAAGTATTGGGCCCTATTTTGGACCAATTTTCGTTCTAAAAAAGATAACAGTTGAAGATCCGTATATAAACCAAAATATTTGCCAGACAAAAATGGAATAATTTCTACGACCGGATAAGATTCACTCTATTCCACTGTTGTAAAACCCGGCCTGACTCGGTCAGGTTGACCCAGAACTCGGCGATTCGGTCATCGAATCGGTTCGGGTCAAGCATTAGACCAGTCATGCATCGACTCGATCAAAATCCGAACAAAATCGGTCAAACCCGGTCAAAATCGGTGATCCGGTGACTTGGTCGGGTCATGCATTTAAAAAAAATCAAAATTGTTTCATCTTGTCAAAAAAAATGTAAAACTCATTTCAAAAACTTTTTGTAATTTTATTTGCTAGTATACTCTTTTACAATGACCTCAAATTTCAGCTTCTAATACTAAAGCAATTTGCGGAATAATAAATTAAGAGAATGTGACATATATCATTTTAATATAGTTGAATTTGAAAATATGAGCTTAATGTCATTGAGAGGTCTGTTTATGGAGATTCTGAGTTACAATTTAAATTGACATAGTAATAGCGTGCATTTTTATTTATTTATGCTTCAATTTTTGAGCTTATTAGTTTAATTCATTTTAGATATGGAGAATATAATTAAATTTATATGTTCATATTTTTATATATCTATATATATCCGGGTCAACCGATCGGACTAATGACCCACCGGTCTGACCAATGACCCAATAACCTAGTACCCCAACCGGGTCGATGCCTGGGTAGAGTTTAATAACACTGCTCTATTTCATATTACATGCTACTCTATTTCATATTACATACTAAATATGCTTCTTAAAGTACTGTTACTTTTATTCTTGTTTTTAAAAAAAAATTAAGAGTTTAATCTAGTGTAAAGGTTTTAGTATTATCATTCAATTATATATTGTTAATTGTTCTTGATGGGGTGTGGATGGAAAATTGGCAATATGCATTAGCATTTTATGACAATAACAAAAGACAGATATCTCATTTGAACAATAGCATCAATGCATATCTTCAATCTTGTAGTGTCTTCTGCATGATTTAAATGTGTTCGGGTTTGTATTGTATAATATCCCAAACTTAAGCATTTAATTGATTAATTTTAATTAAATAATTAAGCATGTTTTAGTGAGTAAAATTAAGTATAAGGCTTAATTAAATGAATCTGAGTCACTTGGAGTTAAAAAGTGTACTCAGTGAAAATTAAGGGGTATAAATGAGTACAGACAAAAGTGCTCAAAATATAAAAATAAAAATGAAAATATTCCTAGAATAATATTCCAGACTTTTGGGTAAAGTTTGGTAATTAATGGAGTTGAATAGATAGATGAACCAATACCCACATAAGCCACTTAACATAAGTTAAGTGACCAAAGCTACTAAAAGAGCCCCATTTTCCCACCCAACCCGTCGAGCAAACAGAGGAGAAGAAGAAGAAGAAGAAGAAGAAGAAAGGGAGGGAGAAGAAGAGAGAGAGGAGGGAGGAAACCTTGACCGTTTTGAGTGATTCAAAAGCCTAAATCGCTTAGAATCTCGCCCTCTTTCATAATCCAAGCTTAGTTCTGAGTGGGTAGCATTGTGGAGAGGGATATTGCCCCTCAAAAATTCGCCCATTTGGTGAAATTTGGGGTTTTGGGGGTTTCAACCTCCATTGAAGCTTGAGGAGCCATCAATCCTTGGTTGTGCAACCATTGGTGGTAAGATTCTAACCCTTGAACCTTGTTTTCTTGGAAAATTTCATGGTTAGGGTTTAATGAATAGTGTTTTAGGGTTTTTATGAAATGTTGAGTAGATTGGCTATGTTCAAGGCGGAATGAGGCTTAGAGTATGTTGTGAAAAATGCTAGGAATGACATTTAATCGGTAGAAATGAGTTTATAGTGTTATTTTAGTATGCTTTGATGTTTGGAGAAATCTAGGCTTGGAACTATGGATTTCCTTGCATTGTTAGCATTGTTTGATTGTATTCCTTATGTTGATAGGATTGAGGCAAGAGGACCAAGTGGAGTGACCAACCCTTGGGGTTGTGTGCAATTGAGGAAAGCTCAAGAGCAAGGTAAACCTTTGGACCTTGGGGTTGATCCCATTGAGTGTTCCACCATACTTCGTTGAGGAGAAATGGTTTATGAGATGTGATATGTAATTATGATAGTAATTGTATGCTCATGCATTGATTCATGCATTGATACATTTTATGATTGATTGATGATTATTGGTTGATGTTTGATTGTTTAAGAGTAATTGAGGAATGGTTATAGAAGTAGCAATAATGAATGAGGTAATGGTTGAGGATTGTGATTGAGGTTATGAGTGATAGTATTATGATGAGGATGATTGGTAGGAACTTCCCTTGGAAACAGCCCTATGTGGATCTCAATGTGGTTAGAGCCTAAGAGGAACAACCCTATGTGGATTCCTCTTGGAGGTTCCTAGATTGAGGAAAGGACTTCCCTTGGAAACAGCCCTAGGTGGATCTCCATGTGGTAAGAGCCTAAGAGAAACAGCCCTTTGAGGATCTCTCTTGGAATAGATTGAGGAAAGGACTTCCCTTGGAAACAACCCTATGTGGAACTCCATGTGGTAAGAGCCTAAGAGAAACAGCCCTTAGTGGACCTCTCTTGGAAGTCCATGTGATGTTTGTGGATAAGAATGTGTTAAGCTATTATGATTATGTGTACATCGAAAGTGAACCTTAGGGTGGAGTGATCTCCAAGGACCTCTGGTTTACTGTGATATATTCGTATATCTCACCCCGTGTTGTGGGGCATCATTTCAGGTACTGATAGAGGTGAGGTTGATCGAGGCAAGAAGCATGAGTAGATTGTACCTGATAGCTGGACATGTTGAGTTGCATGCCATTTAGCATTGCTATATGTATATTTTGATGCCACATGATGTATTTTGGAGGACTTAGTGCATGATCATTGTAGTAGTAATGGGTATCTGATACATGGTTACTTGCTTTGATCATGTTCCTTTTGTAGCTAAGTCCTTTGGCATGTATATGAGATTTGTAATTAAGACATGATGTAATATTGTAAGTAATGAAGATATTTGTGTATGATGATTACTGTAAGTTAAATGCATGAATGTATTTTATGTATTGGACATGTTGAGCTGGAAAGTCAATTAGGTACCTTGTGCTAAGTTGGGAATTGTTGAGAAAACAAAGGTTATGCTGCCCAAATTTTAGTACAAGCCATGAGGAAAAGGGCATACATGTCCCTTTAGATGTGTTTGTATTATGCAAGAACTAAGAACCATTTATGGAGAGGAATTTATATGATAGATTTGGACTGTGGTGTATGTATGGAAGTTGTAGATATTTTTCTTAGCTTTCCATAGAGACCAATGTTGTGTAAATTGGACAAGTACAACTCTAGTTAGAGTTAAAATACTAAGAATTGGTGAAACCTTCAGGACTTCCAAACTTGGCGCACCGCGCGCCATTGATCTTGGAAGCTTCTGTTTCGTGGCGCAAATCGCGCCGGAGTTGGCGCAAATTGCGCCGGGATCACCAGCTGGCGCACCTGGCGCCAACCTTGGCGCCTCCAGTGCCATAGTGATCAGGAGCTTCTGTTTCGTTGGCGCCCGCCGCGCCACAGCTGGCGCCGGTCGCGCCGGGATCAGCAGGATTCGCGCACGCGTTTCGTAGAAAACCCATAACTTGGGCTACAGTGCTCCGATTTGAGCGCGGTTTGAACCCACGCGTCGCTAACGAAGAGATCTACAATATAGTAGAAGTTGTGAAATAAATAAGAAGTAAATTAATGGTTTAAAAATAGAATAAGAACATGATGTTAAGCTTGATTTATCTGATTCCGCAAGGTAATATGGTTATGATCACGCAATTGGATATTTTAAATTCGGCGTCGTTTTAAAAAGAAATATTTATCCGGATTTTTTAATTGAGCCAAATGTGATTGTAACTGCGCTTAATATCATAATGCGATGTTAACAAACCGGTTCTAGAACGGGGTGTTATATATTGTCTTTTGCATTTTATGATTTAAAAGTTTCTAAGAGATGCTTGTCATTTCATTTGATGGTTTAAAGGTAGAGTTATATAATTCTCAGGTTGTTACCATGGCATGTTGGTTTTACGACTAGCTAGTTGTACGTAGTTGTTACGACACTAAACGTAATTAAACATTTTGTTCTTTATTTATTGTGTCTCATGCCTATAAGTATAACCGAGTGAAATGGACTGTTAGAGATAATTTTATTGGTATCCCGCATTATTTGGATATTTTCCAGCCACGGTATAATTTATGTTAAAACTTTTTTCTGATTGATCAACGACATGGGACGTTCCTTCTAAAAGAATACACATGCATAATTTTTGGTATAATTGTGTTTCCAAGGTTTTGATTATCTAAGTGCTGTTATTTTTTATTAGAGTAAACATCATTTTTGGTTCCTGGCAATATCTACGAAATCCTTTTTAGTCCTTGGCAATAAAAAAGGACCAAATTGGTCCCTAAAATTATGAAAAAAGGGTCACATTAGTCCTTATGTCAACTCCTCTATCACTAACGTGGCCCTTTTTGCATACTGTTAGGGACCAATTTGGTCCTTTTTTATTACCAAGGACTAAAAAAAATTTCATAAATATTGTCAGGACCAAAAAGGGTGTTTACTTTTTTTATTAATACTGAACTTGAAATTCCCTTGATTGGTTTATCATATATTCAGATAATCTCATGATCTATTGGAGAATATGTAACTCATACGCCTTTTTATAAGAAAAAAATAGTATGAGTTACACATTTAGATAAATATAATATATACTTAATAAAGGATATTTTTATTGATTATTATAATATTTTGTAAAATATAATATCATATACAATATTGCACTAAAAAATTTAATTTATAATATTAGAATTTTATATCTAATTTGCCTTCTGCCAATTGTGAGAGATGAAAAGTCTAGTAAAAATAAATAAATAAATTATAATTAGGGATGGCAATGCGTGCGGACTATGAATAATCTTGCTCTGTTTGTGAAAGTGAGTAAAAAATCTCAACTAAACCTATCTTATAGTGGATGTTTATAATGTAAAAATAAATGAAAAAAATAATAAAAATGAGAAAATGTGTCAGAGATGAAAGATTTATTTTAGAAAAAAAAAGTGAAATATTTTATTCAAATTATTCAATTAAATTTTTTTAATAAAAAAATTCAACTTAATAGATCATGCTGTGACGAATTGGCAGATTTAATTATATAATCCAACTTGCCAAATTTGACTTTTTTTTTAATACGTTGAAAATCGAACACAGTATCTACTATCTATTCCCAAATTTAACTACTTAACTCTACTAATCAAAACCATTTTATCATCTCTCTTTTTTTTTTTTTTTTTTTTGATGCATCATTTTATCATCTCTAATTACAACACACGATTATGAATTTTTAGCAGCATTGAAGGGAGCTCAGAGCAAACTAACTGCAGTTTAAAAATTGAACAACATGAGATTGCTTTGTCTTTCTTGCAATGTTTAGTACATAAAAATTGTTTTATGCGCCGTCCATTCGAGGCGTGGCCACAGACGTCCTTTTAATTGCGATCAAGTTGCCATGGAAAGAAACAAGAAACTTTTCATACCAAAATCTATCATCTATCATCAATGGTTAAAGTGGATAATGACTATATATCAGATTTCCTTCAAATAAAGGCATGTCAGGATACCTCCAGAAAAAATGTCATATCTAGAGAGTCACTTTTTAAAAAATAAATAAAAAAATCATTACTTGTAAATTAATTATATCATATATTTTAAAAAGGACTCAGGTACAAGTACACTACACTTATCTACTTATACTACGCACAAGATGGAAAAGAAGACCTACGTGAATAATTAATAGACTATCCACTCCTTATCAATATTATAAAAATCACATCGACGTGAATAATTAACAGACTATCCACTCCTTATCAATATTATAAAAATCACATCGACCCCACTACAATCACTGAACCGATTATATAATCGATTCGATTTTTATATTACACCGGTTATATTACAGAATTGGTGTGACCTAATGTGACCCGACACATTTTCGTAAAAATTGGTGACCCGAGCGGTTCAACTAGTGACCCGTCCTGATTTGTAAAAAAAAAAATTAATAATTTGTTCTCATCCATTGATGTCTTATTTTTTTTTTCACTCTCAAACACAAATGATTTATTTTTTTTGGAAACATTTGAATGATTTGTAACTCATTAACTTATTAACTTACATAGATTATGTACCTACAACACTAATATTATCTTGGTTATGCAATATGCAGGGAATTTTGATTTGATTTATAGTTAGAGATGTCGTTTATTGAACCTGAAACACCAGTATCACAAATATTATATGTTTGATTGATCTTTTGTTGGACAATGATGTGTAATTTATTATTTTTCATATTAAAATATTTGAAATTGATATCATTTTTTTACAGGTATTTAAGTATATTTATAGTTTTTTTAATATATAAATTATAGATTTACATACACTTACCGGGTCATGCAGTTGAATCAGTGACTCAGCACCTCGACCGGATCAATAACTGAGCCAGATTTAATAACATTACTCGTAACTACTTACAACTCATTAGTGAAATAGAAAGTGGATTCTCCAAAAGCTAGCAATCCAATCTGTTAGAAATAAATTGATGACATATTAATAAAAAATAAATACATTAGGTATAATATCCTCCCTCAAGTTGGAAGATGGATATCATGCAACCCCAACTTGGAAATAAAATCATAATGTATGAAGAGTGCGGATATATAGACTCTAAGGAAGCTCAATTGTGTACCAATTTCATACAATTCCTTTGTGAAAGTGAAAAGCTGCAAGTAACTTTGCTTGTCAAGTTTGTGCTATATATTTAATGATTAATAGGTTGTTGATTGTTCGGTATTAGTAAATGAGATGAACCAATCTAATTGACTGGGCTATTCAGTGATCAGTTTATGATAACATATCTAATATCTTGCTGAAATTGAGATTTTTTTCTCTCCATATTCATAATGTCTATTGTGTGGTTCATTCCCCCCCACATATTACACAAGCTGCAAGTCTTCCTCATACAACTTGAATGGATTAATGACGGAAAGCCCTAGTTCAAAACTATAGAATTAGACAAAGATTGGGCCAGGGTATGTTGGAGCTTGCGGCTTTGCTAATTATGGAAATATAGTAATGACATGATGAATAATAAAATTTGCTGGGGTTCGAATCAGATAGTTGTTGGCAAAGTAGATATGCAAAATCTAGGATATAGAATGCTTCGAGGTTGGTGAACTCAATTATAGCATTTAAACAATTTAATTCAAATGCTTTGAAGAGATATTGTAAAGTGATTTGGTCATATTAAAACAATATAAATACTTTCAATTAGAAAAAAATGTAATACTTTTTTCTATCCCCGGTATCATCATTTTCAAAAGAAGTTTAAAGTTTTAATTCTGAATCCGCCTCGAATAGAATTGTTTTCCATACATGATACGATACATGTGGTGTATCCAAAATAAATAAATAAATAAAAAAGTAATTGCAAAGCTAATAACATTTTAATCTGCAGGTCAATTGTTCAAAGTAAACGAGCTCTATTTAATAAATGGATTGATGGCGCAGAAAGATTCTCTGTTTCGATTTCTAAGTGAAGCAAGTTGGGACCAATGACAAAACTTTGTACACTTTATGACTTGAAAGAGATTAATCTTATTTAAATAGGTGAAGACATCCCTAAAAAATTTATTTGAAAAGTACTGCAAATCAATTATAAATCAATTGGACAAAGCCGAGATGGTTTTAATTATTCTTTAAGATGGAAATAAAATGAGATATCACAATTAATTAACCTAATTAAGTGCGGATTCAATTATTTTTTTCTTTTTTGGTATACTGATTTTGATTTTCAGTCAGGTTATTAATGAGTAGGCTAAAAGATTAGGCACCAATATGACTTTTTTTCTTATTAAAAAAAAAGGTATGATAGTAACCCTCGTCTTTGAAATCACGATTGAATTGAAAATAAGGATTTAGACTCTCCAGTTTTAAGTATCACAGACCGTGACAAGAGAAGAACTAAATAAAAAGTGAGCTTGGTAAGTGTTTTCACTCAAGTGGGACCAAAACCTAGGGCCTACTATCAGAACATCCACCAAAATGTTATTTTTTGACAAAAATTTTATCCAAATATTATGCGAACAGTATTTTTTATCAGACTGTCACGTGATGTAATTCGCTACAACTGATAGCAAATTATGTTCGCCAATAATTTTGTGGCACCTAGCACATTTTCGTAGAAAAAAAACTGACTGGACTAAATTCGTCACCAGTGATAGCAAATTTGGTATGCAATATGACCACGTCTTACGAAATTATTGGCCAAAGAATTCGCTACCGGTGATAACGAATTATGACACGTGATAATCTGATAAAAAATAATGCGTGGTATTTGATTAAAATTTTAATCAAAAAATGACACTTTGATCACTGTTACAGAACAGTTGTGTAATTCTTTCGCTCACGTCACAAATTCACAACCAATATGGCAGGTGAGGCAGACCCAAAACTGCTGGTCTTGGAAATCCTAGGTTAGCACTTTTTGTTTTTGGTAATCCCTAGGTTAGCACTTTGGTAAGCCAGTAATTAGGAAACATTCTTGCTTTTTAAGTGCAAAGATCCAAAAAACAAGGAAACTTGTATAGTAACAATTCGAACAGAAAAAGGTGGGAACACTATTTACTTTAAAGTGTAATTGTGTGATCAATCAAGAATGCCTCCATTAATCAATGTATGCAAAATTTGCAAATTGCCATTGATCCTTAAACAGTGGGTGGTGTGGCCCAATATTTAAAGCGAAAATTACTCCTCACAAGTCACAAACACAAACCTCATGCTCACCACATCTTACATAATGCCCTACCATGATTTTTAAGGACCACTACTAGTCTCTACTCAACTAACTAATTTGTTTTATACCCAAACCAATAATTCAATGTTTCCCAAAAAAAAAAAAAACAACCAATAATTCAATTTTATTAACTACTACAAATATTAGTAATTACTTCAATTTGCCGGCCAGCAGTTTTATAAGAAAAAGATTATGTCATCGATCAGGACAACCATTTGTAGCCACCCATTCCTAGCAACAAAGCCAAGAAGCAGAAATCCCAGTTTTCTATTTGTTGAAATTATTTATTTTTCTTTGCCAAAAGTTTTTTTGGGGGGTTGCTTTCCCATCCTTTTCTCTATTAAGTAACCTTTCAAAGAGATGCGTCCATAAAAAAATATTTGCATATTCAGTTATTCACCGTCTTCTCTATTAATCTAATAAAATATCATTAAATTAATTTTAGTAAAGTTTGACTATGACACCTTCAATTTGGAAATAATTATTTGAATTTATATACACTTATGTGGACGTAATCATTGATTCGTTTCCAGAATTATTTAAATTTATTTTTATATATAATCAATTTGTATCTTTTTTACAAATAATTATTCACGCAATTTCAAATTTGAGACCTAGCAAGGTCAGAAAACCCATATTACGTTATGAATTTGACTCTTTTACGATGAATTAATGGTGTACTTTAAAAGATAAAACAACTGAAATTGTAATAAAATACGTGTATATGTATAACCTCTCCCAAATAAATTATAAAGTTATTGAAATAAACTTCATTGATATTCAATCAAAGATTATAACTCTGTATTTTATCCTTAAAAGCGAACCTCTCAATTTAGAGAAACATAAATACACAATCCTCAGACTATTAAGTTTTTTTGATTCATCATATATTTAATTTATAAAAGTGAATAAAAAGAGAAAATGTGTTAAAATTATAAATAAATAAAAACAAAATTTAAAATATAAAAAAGTAGAATGATGATATATGTCATGAAAGAATAAATTTTTTTTTTTACCAATTCTCTTTTAAAAAATTAATATTAAATATATACATAATAATTATCTCCTTAAAGAATTTAAACCTGCCACTTATAAATACATGAAAATTTTATAAGACATAACACATACATTTGACAACTTGTGTGTCCTCTAATTTAGTGTCGTGATACATTTAAAAAAAAAAACCCATTACGCTTCCATCGGGTTATCCAAAAAAGTATTCGATATAGAATACTCATATTGATATGAATATACTTTTTATATATTACATATTTTAAAATTAATTTTATGCTATCACATTATCATGTTCTTTGTAAAAGAGAAAGAAAAAAAGAAAGAAAAATTGGCAACATAAGGAATTTGGAACATCAAGTGGGTGAAGGAAGGGGGTCCCTTATATATGTTGATAGAGCATGCAGGCAATGCCAGCGAGCAAGCTAGGTACGTGTGTCTCTAAATCTGACACTTTGCAAAGTGTGCTTTCTTTTCCCGCCTCGTCGGATAATGACGTCACACTCTCACTATCCATCAGAGTTGGACGCCGACTCGGTGGCCTCCTCTCCTCGCTCCGAACACTTCCACGAGCCGCTGCCACGTGTCCGCTTCATGTGCAGCTTCGGCGGCAAGATCCTCCCCCGTCCACACGACAACCAGCTCCGATACGTCGGCGGCGACACCCGAATCGTCGCCGTCCATCGCTCCATCTCCTTCTCCGCTCTCCTCCTCAAGCTCTCTAAACTCTCAGGTACGAAACCGCCACGGCGCCACCTTCTCTTGCCGTGTTTTCTTCATTTCTTTTTTTATTTTAATAATTGCTATTTTTTTTATTTTTTTTTGGGATTTGATCGGGTGCAGGCATGACTAACATAACGGCGAAGTACCAGCTTCCCAACGAGGATCTCGACGCGTTGATATCGGTGACGACGGATGAAGACGTGGAGAACATGATGGATGAGTACGACCGCGTGGCACACAATCAGAACCCACGATCGGCTCGGCTTCGACTCTTCCTCTTCAACGAAGGCGAAGACTCTCGAGCCAGCAGCATCAGCTCGCTCCTAAACGGCTCAGCCAACCGCGAGAACTGGTTCCTCGACGCCCTAAACGGCGGCGTTTCGGGGCTCGAACGAGGCCGCTCCGAAGCCTCTTCAATGGTTTCGGAAGTACCTGATTACCTCTTCGGGTTGGATAACTCAGACGAAACACACCACCACCCTCGCGAACCACGACCCAAGGACCGACCCGTTTTCCATGACAACGTTTCCAATTCGGATCCGGGTTCTCCTGCCCCGGTTCTCTCTTCCCCTTTTTGTTCCACGTCATCAGTACCCTGCGTGCCCTCTATCCCGAACCTTCCACCGGTTAAAACCAAACCCGCGAACCCGAATCCTGACATGGAGTTCAAGCAAAATCATATTGAAGCTGAAACGGGTGGGCAACCGCAACCGAACCCGTACCAACATAACCCTGTAGTACACTATTCCCCAGAAGCTGCTTATTCGGGTCATTCTGTACAACCGGTTCCTGTTTACTATGTTTCGGGTCCGGTTCAATCTGGTACTGTACCGGTCCAACCGGTTCCTATTCAGTCACCCTATCCCTACGTTCAACAACCATATCATGCAGTGGTGCAAGGTCAGGTTCCAATTGGGTACCATCATTTGGTTTCGGGTCCGGGTCAAGTTTTCGGTGCAGGGGTGAGGCATGTGACCCCAATGCATCCATATGAGTCGGCGGTTCACGGCGGTTTGAACCAGCAGGTGTACCAAGCCATGCCAAACTCAGGTATGGTTCCGGTTCATCCAGCGATGGCTATGACAGGTAGTAGGGACGAGACAGATAGAGGTGGAGCGGAGTTTGTGGCGGGTCGGGGCACCAACTCGCTAAATAACTGAACCAGTTTTTTTTGTTTAGCATTTGCTAAATTGCTTTGATCGTGTAAATGGTTGCTTAATATTTGTGTGTTTGCACTTTGCACTATCAGTTTTCGCTGCTTCTTTTTTGGTCAATGCATAAAAAGCCAAGAATGATATATTTCATAAAATTGTTTGAACAAGTAATTTAATAACTCAGGTTTTATATATTAAAAAAGACAATGTTAATGATTGATATTTCGTTATGCTACAAATAATTTATAGGTTTCTTTGGGCTTTCTGTTATTTATGTAAAACAAAACTAGGGTAAGGATTTGATAAGAGTCTGATTTAACTAAAAGGAGGGAATAAGAAAGTTTTTAAAAACAAATTACTATTTAAAAATATTTTTAAATTTTTAAACATTAAAAAACCTTCATTTTTCTATTCTCCATCTCTCACATTTCCAAATATATTCGAACTTAAATCATCTCTCTTCAATTATGGATTTTTCTCCGTGTTCTATTTCCACAAGCAACAAAAGGTTTGGAATCTTTTGATCTGATCTCAACTTGTCAAAAAAAGGATCAAGCTTTGTGTTTTTCCATTAAAGAAATTAGAGAAACAACCAAAGTTTATGACAACAAGGAGAAGTGTTGGATAAGGGAAGTCCTACGTGGTTTTTTTTTTTTCCTTTTTCAATTTACTAGGAGTTCAGTTTTAGACTTAGTGGTTTAGGTTTCTGCAAGAATTTCTTAGGAGTGAGGATAAATCAGTAATAACATTACAAGTTTAATTAAAATAAAAATTGGAATAATTTGCCTAAATAAATTAATACACATTCGGTGTTACAAATAGAGATATCTCATTGCTCAACCTTTGACTAAATATATCTCAACTTATTTTCCGTGAAGATATTGTTGTATACCCATGTGATTTGAAGAAAAAAATGTTTCATTCTGTATAAGAAATTATAGTTAATTAATGAATCCTCAAAATTACTAAAACATATATATAGTAGTTGAAGAATCAGCACTTACGTGCATTACCCAGTTACCTAATAAGAAGATCAACTTTGGGCTACAGATGTTCCAAAACACTGCCAAATTATGTAGATTCGAAACAATGGTCAAAGGAAAACACACAAACACACAAAAAAAAGGTGCTGTTAATCTCATGAGTACAATAAAGTCTCGTGATGATTCTATTATACAGAGTGGCAGAGACGGTACAGTCATTGCATGGAGTTACTAAGTTCGTGGACAATTTATTCAATCCAGGTAGGTAAATTCTAGAAAACAGTTTGTACTGCTTCTCAATTCCTTTCTTAATGTTCTAGATGCACTTGCATATTCTTACTACAAGTACTTTAAATTCACCATTGCAATCAAAGCTTTCATAGCTCAGTTGGTTAGAGCACCCGTTTAGTAAGCGGGAGGTCTTGAGTTCAACTCTCAATGAAAGCAGTTATGTTTTGCTGGTCCTTTTTACATTAGATTTATTTGTTTGCCGAAGTGCCAGTGCTAGTCTGATGTAAAATACTCCTGAATTTTCATTGAAATATACAACATGCATGAAGATGGAATTCTTGTACACTAATCAAACTATATTACCGGGGTTGGTATTTTGACCGACAATTATGTACATGAGCCAAATTAAGTAATCAACATCTCCCTCCACAGATAATTTGAAACAGAACATTGTTCTCCATCCAAATGAGAAGCAAGCCCATTGTTCTCCACGAATGATGGAATCCTCACTACATTTCTTCTCTTGATCAAGAAATTCGAGGGGAACTCGAGATGAAATATGTGGTGAGAAGAAACATGGTAATTGAATCAAGACGAAGAAGCATTGTTTCAAATCTTCCTCACTACCTTGAATTCAAGACATTTGTGTTCTTTTCCATTCAATTTTCATCAGTAGTATTGATGGACACAATAGGAGGTGGACCAAACTGAGAGAGAGCTTTACTATTTTCACCAAAGCCACCTATGCCTATGCATATTGTGTCACCACGACCATGCCAAGTTCCATCTTGAACATTGTTCATCTCCAACGTTCTAGACTCCTGCATCATATTATAAAGATACGAATATTCAATATTATGATTGAGACCAATTATACATATGCCTCATTTCGGTTGTGGTTATCACTAATTTTAAAGATATTTCATCATCCATAGTTTTTCCTCAGATGACAATAAAATACATCAAGATAACCGAATTGACAAGGGATAGAATTTCGAAAATGACCTGACATAATGTACAGCAAGGACAGGCAAAATGGTAAACACAATCGTCCAAGGAACTATCACTACCCTGAAAAGGTACGAATAAATAGTGCATTAGTTAGTGAAAACAAATAAATGAATAACAAACATATAATCGTGCACTTCAATCCACAGAGTAACAAGTCATATGACTCAAAGTATCAATATCAGAACAATATTTACCCCAATAAAATACATGGATGCAAAAATGCATATAAAATTTGCTGCATCCTCCATCACTGAATCCAAACAAATCAAACTAAAAAGGATAAATGGAACAACAGAATAGTCTAACTGATAACTTAGTTACTTTATGATTGCAGATGGTCGAATATTAGCAAGTTCTTTATAGAATTAAACTAAATACTGCAACCTGGATATTTCCGTATCATAACATATCCAGCCTTTTAACTTCTTACACTCTGTTGACAGCATATACATGTAATGTGATTATGTGAGAAATTATATATTTAATCTATTTGCAAGCATGCCACCAGCCTGTTATACACAAACAAACAAATCATAGAACCCAATCATTCCTCATCCCACTCCCCACACAATATACATGAATTGTCACCTTTATCCTAAATCAATGCTTCACTATAAATATGTTAAAAATATAATATAAACTGATAAGAAGAAGCTTTGATCATGGTTAAAAGATATAATATAAAATTATTTATGTGCCTTCACCAATGGCCTTATTTTTTTTTTTAAGTCTTAGTTCATGGCAAAGTAATTTCGTTACACGATTATTTGGAGTATGTATTGAGCAACAATATCCAATACAAGGAGTTATAAAACAAACAATGAACAAAACCCAATCACCTCATAAACAAGTATCTATAAACAATTGCAGAAAATACCCACCTTGATGTTGAATTTCTTCCTTATACGTGTCCGGAAGAAACCCAAATATGCTCCAACAGAAACAATGAAGGAAACTGCCAGGTATAGAAAGCAGTGACGTCTCGTGACAGCAAAGGCAATCAAGTTAACAAAGGCACCGATTGCAAGAAAAAAATAAACCGCTGCCTGCAAAGTAAGACAAAGGAAGATCAAAATTCAGAGTGCTACATAAAACAAAAACTGAAAACAAAAAATAGAAAATTGCCAATTCTAACATTAAATCATCATTTTCGTCATTTTTACAAACACAAACACCCTTTGACTTTCCAATCAACTTAACAATACCTGAACGTAGAAACTCCCAAAACCCGCTCTCTTCATGTTCTTCCCAAATCGGTAGCAAGGACAACTGAAAATACCCAAATGAGCTATTATTTTCAAACATAATGTGAATAAGCTAAAAGAAAAAGAAACACACAGCATAATTTGAATTCCTTACCATGTGGATTCAAGAGCTATACGACGATCATCAAAGCAATCAAGAATTTCACCCTCCCACATTCTCAACACTCCACCAAACTCCACACCCTCTTCTTCTTCTTCTTCTTCTTCCTCTGTTCCAAGCTTCCCCCATTTCCCATGAGCAGCTTGCAAAGCCACAGTTGAACAAAGCATGTCAAAGTCCAAAACCGCCATACCATCCAACAACCTTTCATTCTCTTCCTCCTCCACCCTCTCTTGCTTCTCCAAATCCCCCATTATTGTATCAAAACACCCTCCTCTTCGTTGTAACCAAATCAAACTCTTGCCTTTTCAAAAAAGGAACCTTTCGAAGCCTTTGCTTTATGGGGTCTCAAGAAAAAGCTAAGGAAGCGAAAAGAACAGAAGACAGATAACAAAATAAAAGAACACGATAAGATAACGAATTAAAAACGATTCCTTTGTTGTTGATCTGTGCATGCGTGGACATATTCAGGAATCTCTTAGGTTGGCTGGTAATTAGTTATTGTGGGATCCACAATATGTCTCCATTATAAGGGGTGTAGCTGTTGCCACGTGAAAACTAGAATATAGCTGTGTTTTTCTCCACTAAATCGAAATTATTGCCAATTTTGATTTTGATATTATTCTTATCCCCCACTACAATTGGGATTTTGATCACCTTTTTATTTATTTTTAGTGGGTATGTTTTACTAGTTATCGTTTCTTCATTTTTGTTGTTGTAGCAGTCAAACAGAGTTTCTAAGAATAAACGAGATTTATTAGCTAAAGAAGCCAAAACCAAAACCAAAACCATCTACCAAAATTAACAGCTACTTTGTGCCATTGCAAATTTGCTTTTCTTTGAAGAGGAAATGTTGAAAGTTGAATATAGACAGATGAATAGGATAATTGGACAAGAGCAATTCACTGAAATAGCTTCACTGAAACTAGCTAGTTTGAATTGAATATCGGGGTTATTGTAAGAGAATTATGCAAAGGTCGTTTTTGAAGTTGAAATCCCGTGTTAGATTAAAAAAATGTTATAAATCTTATCCACCAAAAATTAAACAAATAAAAGGTTGTTAGTGAGATTAATTTCATAATAAATAAACATATAATGTATGGACAGATACATGCTTATAAATTCAAAAAAAATTTATGATAATTATATCACATTTAACGCAAATAATATTTAAAAAAAAATTATAATTTCAGCATGAGCGGCTTCCTTGGAGGGAATTGGTTTAAATATAATTCATATTCTCATATTATATAGTATGAAATAATAATTATTATTATTATAGAATACTAATATATCTAAGAAATGAGTCTGTACAACTATAGATATAGTATGAGGTTAGCTGTAATATGTTAATTATTTTATTTGATAAAATATGATTTTGGAGTACATTAAGTACTGATTGAATTAAGTTTATTAGTAATTTATTTCATTCTTTTTACTTAGAATGAGTTAAATGACTTAATTATTAAAGATCAAAATGTCAATTTTAGCAATTAAAATTAAAATAAAATAAAATAAAATAAATCCATTTTTTTGGTACATGGAAAGGAGTCAAAGGACTATCCCGAAGGAAAAAATAAAATAAAAAACACCTTAATTTCATCCATTTAAATTCGTTCCTTTAAGTAGATTTCTCTTTATGAACAACTAAAATAAAAATAAAAAAGTAAAACAAATTGTTTCCTATTTTATAATTTTCTAAAAAAACATTTCATTTAAAATAAAATAAAATAAAATATTTGATTCTAAGCATACTCTAAAAGTATAAAAATTATTGCTAATTAAATAAAACATGATGTATATAATACAATTAACTTTTTTTTATTTAAGTCTGATCCTTTGTTTAGTTAATTTAAAACTTTAAAATGAAAAAAAAAAATGGGCAAGCTTTTTACGTTGAATAAATTAGTGGAAGGAATGTTGGGTTCCTTGTCATTCTTCGTATAAAGGAAATGAAAGGGATAGGAACAAAATTGGGCGATGGTCTGGTTGCGTCAGAAGGCACTGCCCAAGCTGGAGCTTTCTCTTGTGCCTCTAAAATGTTATCCTAAAACTTGGTATATCTTTAGACCAAACCCCATGCAAATTCATGGTCAGTGGTGGAGTCAAGAGGGGTGATTTTCCCTTTAATTATAAATTCATCAAATATTTGGCTTAAATTACATTATAATTAAAAGGAAAATATTATTTTTTCTGTATGAAGAAAATTTGAAGAATTCCTCAAATTTAACTATGAATTGATTTATTATTATATCGCCCTATCTAAATTAGTGTAAATTTTGAATTCTGATTTCCTATATAACAACATCTGAACCTTTTTCTCAAAATAGTACCGACCAACTTTTTTTTCTTTGACAAGTCTTTTGTTTATAAGATAGAAATATAAGTTACTCGGACAAGTACTTATAGTACTATTATATCAAAGGATTTTATAATTCTCATTTAACATGAGAATTATAATTTTCCTACACGCCCTTTGATTTCCGTGCTGACATGGGTCCTACATATAATTTTTTTTTACACATAGGTCTCACATGCTTTTTATCTCTACAACATGAGATTTCAATTCTCCTTCAACATGAGAATTATAAAATCCTATATCAAAAGTTATAACAATTCATTAAGGTGCAATTTTATTTCTTTATCCAGAGTCCCCCACATTAAACTGTGACACACATGAGATGTTGTACGTTAGTGTCAGGAGACCATACTATTAAACTGCAGGGGCTTAACACTGCGAATACATAAAAGAAATTTTTTTCACATAAAAAAAGGTGAAACACGAGGATAGAAAATGAGATATAAGAATATTATCATTGAAGTGAATAAATGCTCTAAAAAATACGTAAAAACCGAAATGTTAGGCATGCTACCAATAAATGTCGTTTGAGTATTACACCTAAATCAATTATATGCAATAATAAAATTCAAAAGTGTACTATTCATTTTTAATTACGACCGAACAAAATAGGTAAGCCGTAAGCATACACCAAAATTTTATAGCTGTCTGTTAATAGTTTATGATTAACAAATCCAATAAAAAATTACTTCAAATCCAATAAAGTATTGAGTGAGAGCCTTTTTAATGGTTTTATATTATTTTTTAATATATTTTCTCACACAAGAGTCTTTTGAACTTGAAGAATGAATATTGTACATGCCTAATTTTTTATTTACTTTGTACTTATTTAATTCCACAAAAAAGTGAGGGAAGTGAAGATCGAACTCATGACTTTGTGGTCGATACCATGCAAAGAACCACATCCAATTTCACAAGACATCTATAGATTATATACAGCTAAGATTGCATCAACTACAATTAACATTTCCCAGCACCAGCCATTAGTGGAGCCATTTAACTTTTCAAATTATCAAGTTGTAATTGGGAAAACCAAATATAAAATACGTATATAGAATATAATCATATACAAGGACAGATAAGTGATGAGTGTACCATGTTAATATGCATGGTACATGATCAACAGAAAATAATGCATATTTTTCTTCAACTAAATGAGGCTTCAAAGTTCAAACCGTTTGCCCCCTTAAAACTATTCCTATCATGATTTTAGGAGAAGGCTTTAATAACTCTCTTGCTGACAGTGAGAGTTATAATTGAAATTTTAGACTTAAAATGATATTGGTTTGAGAGTAAAATTCTATTATTTGTTGTTGTTTGCTGATATTTGTACGCCTTTAGCTACATCAAAATGTTTTGTTGCTGATATGAGCTATTTAGTTTTGTTATTGCTGGTTTAGTGAAACTTTGTGATCCTTGTGCATTTGTAAAACTTAGTTGTATTAATTATGTATGTGTTTATGAGAGAAAAGGACAAAAAGACAAGGAGGGGACCGCTGAAAAAGAGAAAGAGATGAAAGAAAAGAATCTTGCTTTTGGAAGAAAAGGATAAAAGTAGTTTCAACTTTTTTCAAGATTGAATATGTGTCATTGGGTCAAGGGATAACACTATCGTAAGAAAGAGATACCATTGAAGGTAGATTGTGCAAATTGGGGGAACGAAAGAGGCAAGAGGAATGGGAAAAAGCCCCTGAAAGTCCCCTGATTCGTTTATCACCCCTAGTTATAACATTAAGATAACTAAATACACCAAGCATCAAAAGAAAATTATAATTATTTAAACTTTTCATAAAGTAATGGCATGAAAGTCTTGTAATAATAATCACTTCATTATTTTTACCAGTTACCAATGTCATTCTTATTATATACAAATTATTGGAAAGTGAAACACAAGAGTTTGCATAAATAAAAGCCATGTTCATGGCCTAAAACACACTGATTCCTAGCGTACAATAATTGAGCGTCATTCTTTTACGTAAAATTAACCAAAGCAAAAGCACCAAGTTAGAATAACTAAAACCTTGGGTAGGAAGCACTACAAGAAAAAAGTTTATTTGTGACGAAAATTTTTTGTCATAAATTTTGTCACAAATGACAATTTTCGACACAAATAATCAAATTTCGTCACAAATAAAATTGCGACACAGGAATTTGTGACGAAATTTACTTGCGACGTAGGAATTTGTGACAAAATTTCATAAAATTTTGCCACTAATAAGATTTTTTCTTGTAGTGAAGAAAAAGATAAAGCTAACAAGGCATGAGCAAAACTGAGGAAAGGAATCATCACGCAAGTCTTATAAATGGACTTGTGAGCAAGGAAACTAAAATATAACAATTCAAAGTTCTTACGGCACAGATTGATAGGAGGTAAGCACTAGCATAAGCCATCTTTATTGTACACATTTTTTTTTTTTTAGCAATACGCAAAATCTCTAACTTTTTATTCTCTCTTTTTCTTTGTATATGTTTTGCACATAAAAAAATTGCAAGTTTCAACATTGTTTGAGAAGTAATCGCCATGGATCAGTTGGCGGGAATAATCTGGGATGCTACTATTCGTTTGTTCGGTTTTGCAACAACACATGCTGCCTACATTTATAAGCTGACGGAGAATATGGAGTCATTAATATCCAAATCTAATACTCTTCGAAGTATCCACGACGATGTGAATAGAGAATTTATTGAGGCTGAGAGCACTGGAGAGAGGCGTAGGACAGCTACAGTGGATGATTGGTTGCAGAAAGTTCAAAACCTTCAAGAGGTAACTTCCATTGATAAAAAAGTATGCTATCCAATTATATTGACCTTTTTTCTTTTCTTATTGAATTTGAAGCATGAAAATTCTAGCTACCTAATGTGTGCTCTTCTTTTTTACTTTCTGACTAAATTTCCTCCGTGTTCTCCGAAGTACGGAAAATAACAGTTTGAATAATACCCACTTGCTAATTGCTACGAGTGACTCTTCTAACATCATGTGTATCCCGTGTATTGTCATCAACAATGTGCAGCTTAAATAAATACGGAAGCTAATTATTTTATATTACAAATAGTCCTTAATTCATTATGGGATCCAACTTTTTCCTTTTTATCTTTATTCAACTTATGTACTGCAATCACAACATAATCGGATGTATGAAAATGCAATACATGTCCTCTCTCAAATAAATACAATTAACTAGTCATGGGTCTACATCAAGTAGGGCTGGCAATATGGGCCAACCCGTCACTGGCCCACCGAAAATGGGCTGGCCCGCCCCGGCCCGTTTTGACAAAATGGGCTGAATTGAGCAACCCGGCCAGTTTTATGAGTGAGCTGGCAGGCTACGGGCCAACCCGCCTAAAATAAAAAAATTCATAAAAATAAAATATAAAATATAAAATTCTGCATAAAAAATTCTTAAAAAAATTCTGCATAAAATCCTAATGTGCATATGAAAATCCAACAAAAATTCTAAGGGTATATATGAGAAACCGTAAGGAACAAAAAAAAGGGGGGGGGGGGGGGGTTGGCGGGCTAGCCCGCCCCGTGGAGGGCCGAGCCCAGCGGGCTGATGGGTTTTGCGGGGCGGGTTAGGCGGGCTGGTGGGTTGAAAAACTCAACCCACCCCACCCCATTTTGCAGGCGGGGCGGGCTCAGCCCATTTTGCCAGCCCTAACATCAAGTAGTCATGACAACAACCATAACACATGGTGTTTAAAATACAAGTTCTCCTAAAAAAAAAAGATTATTCCAATGTGGCATAGATAACCCCTATGCTCATATCAAATAACAGTATAATAAGTATTGTCAGTATAAGCATGCTTCAGCTACAAAATATCTCATAATCATAATGCTTCCGATCTCCTGCCTCGAGATGCACCAGCATCATGATCTGCACCTGAAAAATATTCTCCACACGGGATGAGATTTTGACAAATCTCAGTAAGATAGGGTTCTCAAGGGATTACTCTACCCCAAGCTCACTTCAGGTATAACAGTATTCAAACAATATGTCAACGGTATGATGGCAATTGCCAAGTTATATATATATATTGCGCATGTGTGTATACAATCCTATTGGCCAGAGAACAATGTTGGATTACGCACATCAGCAACCTACCCAACACACCATACTCAGGTCTTCCCATCGTGTGTGGTCACTACCACAATCAGGGACTACCATTTTGGGTGAAACACTCCCACTCAGGAATTCCCACTGTGTGTGGACACCTACCACACTCAGGGACTCTCATCTTGTGCAAGCACACACCATTATATACATATATAAGAGTGCATCAACAACATATCCAGTAAAAGAATACCACATCAAAGAACCATCCACCAGAGGAGTCTGGTGGAACAAATAGAGGATTAACCATGAGAACACGAAGCTTACCTATATACGCTAAGTGTCTCAACCAAACCATGGCGTATAATCAAGGCACCAACTTAGTGATCAATAGTGTCACAATCTGTTTCCGCAATGTAAATATCATTAACAATTATATTCTAACCCCTCAAGTCTTACGAGACACTATTTCTTCTTCGGTTAGTGTAATGCAGGCTTCTTCCAAAGCCTCAAGCACAAAATCTCATAGTTTCGGACTTACATAATTTTTACAAAAGTTCCCCTAATTCTTTTAAAGGTCCTAGATCATTAAACTGGGTTCTGTTCGATCAAAACAGTAAAAAATATGAAAACTGCAGAATATCCGGATATCAATTTCTGGATATTCCCAAGGCCATATCAGGATATCCATATCCAGATATTTCGTGACAAAACGCAAAAATGCATTTCTTCGCGAAGATATCTTCAAGATTCCATTTTTGGGCATAACAGAGGTTCAAGCATGTTTTTAGGTGTGTTCATATTAGTTGTCCATTAGGCTATCATATTTACTCATTATACATGCTCAAATCTTTTCATCAAAACTTTGAAGAACAAAGGTAGAGACATATACCCAAGGCTCAAAATAAGACAAGGCAGTAGCTTCCAAGCCTCTTCCTCCAAGTTCCAGTACTGTCCAATAGTGTGCACGAATATAAGCTAGCAAGGTGGGTGCTTTCTTGCCAAACAACTTCCTAACAAGAGCCAAAAATGGCTCAAGCTCTCAAAAATGAAGTTGGATGACACTCCAAGGCAGAATCTTTGTGGCACAAAGATTAAGTTTTTTCTTACCAAGGTAGCTTGTTGCTTTCAAGATTTCACAATAATCAAGTGGAAGAAATATGAAGAAAGGTGGAGTCTTTGGGCATTTTCATGGAGAAAAGATTGGTCTTGCTTGGAGAGGAAGAAGAGAGAAAAGACTAAGGGTGAGAAGAGCGGCTACGTAGGTTTTTGTGATAAATGAGAGGATTAAGTGTGTCTCGACTATTTAATCACTTCTCACTTAAGATACCCGGTATTAATCTAAGACCTCAGATAATTACTGTTCTCTCAAACTTCGAATTATTGACTTAGCATATTTTCTAGGAATATTCATATTTTTATTTCTATTTTTTGGGTCACTTCGCGGGTACATATTTATACTGCGAAATTCACAGTATTCACATTTTTCTTCCAAAAAAAAGTGACTTAATTTTAATAATTAATTTTTTTCAAATATTGTCCTATATTAATTATGAAATATTTCCTAAATTCATAATTAAACTATTAATATTCCTAATTTAGTGTGCAGGTTCTTACAACTTTCCTATTAAATTTAGGTTCATTTCTTTGGCTCAGAAAATCACCTATTATATTGATATATTTTACCCCTTTAAAAAAATATATACTAACATCACACAAATAGTCCAATTCCGTTAATAAATTCCAAAAACGTGATCAATAGTTATATACTTATATGTATAGTATGGGAGGTGAAAATATTTATAAAAATTAACTATAATAGTGAAAAAACCATTTTTATGTTTTTTTTATATATATTTTACATATATAATTTCAAATTAACATAATAAGTTTGGTTCATAAATATGGGGCAATAATTTATTTTTTTAGAACTTCATCTTTAAAGACAATAACATTCTCTTGTCTTTTTTTTATATACTATATTATTTGTAAGTTACTATTCTGCGTTGATAACATTTTGAAATGTATTAATGAACAACTTATCTTTTAAGCAGCGATAAAAGTTATCAACAGTACAACAATTAAATATGTTATTTGAATATGTATTTTTTCAATTTAAAATTTAAATTTTGGCTAAAATGGTGAAGGACATTTCTCATTGTAAGAATATTATATTCAAGAATAAAAGATAATGACAAACACTTTAAATTGATGAAAAATGATGTCATAAAAGGCATAGAAAATACAGCTAAACAAAAAAGTTAGGATTTTCACAAAAGAGTAACCGTCCGGTTCTCAATTTCTATTAACAAAATTCAACACCCCATAATACGGGTCACAAGTACCCTTTTATAGACTAATTATAAATTGATTCAAAATTCAAAATTCTAAATCTAAAATCCTAAAAATAAGAAAAATTTGTAAAATAAATATAACAGTAATTAAATTCTAAAAATAAATAAATAATTAAAATTAAATCATTCAAAACAAGTCCTAAATCTTAAATCTCAAATCATGACAAATGTGTTGTTTCCCTTTTCTTACCAAACAAATTCACAATCATATTTGCTACTTCCTTTGTACTTGAATTTGATCGTAATTTATTATATTTTAAATTACTGTTTCTTTTAACAAATAAGCCATACTTATTAGGCCACAATTCTATTTGACTCCGAGCTTCTTGAACCAATGGTTGGGCCATGTCCAATAGGTCAACCATAAGTGCATCATTCTCTCTGCTAGGAAAAGATTCGTCCTCGAATCTTCACTAATATCAATCTCTTTAGGTAAAAACTCAAATGTTAATTCATCTTCCAATAAATCTTTATCTTCTAATTCCCCATCAGATTTATCATAAACTAAATAATAATCGTAGATTGGATAATCATCATATATTGAATAATTGTCATAAATTGCATTATGATTATAGACTTCAAAATCAGGAATGTTGAGTTGCATCTCGATATCTTGAAAAATGGACTAATTTCTAGGTCGTATTTCTCAATTATGTCCCTGGTTTGGTATCCGCAAGAGATTGACATCCTCCTCTTTGTCATCAAATGCATCCTCTAATTCCATTCATTCTTTGGATTGAATGCCTAACTATGTCCATGCAAGTTCCCGCTCCAAATCTTGGTTTTTCATGCTCTGCTCCTTCACAAGTTGTCGCTTCATAATTTGGATTTTCTCACTATGCCTCGCACAATCGTCACTTAAAATCTTGAATTTTTTTATCCATCGCATGTTCAAGTTGTAGCTCCAAATCCTGGATCCATCTTCTGAGCTCTTCATTTTCTATGTCACGTGTGTCTATCTGACGCAATTGTCTATCTTCTTTAGGAATGAATCCACGTCCCTTACATTCTCGACTCTGCCATCGATGACCTCTACAATTTTGTTCAGCCATGGCCCATTGGATGAAGGCAACCTAGTGCCTTGAAACCAAATGATCACGAAAACGCATAGAAAAGATGGCTAAATAGAAAGTTGAGATCTGATAAAAGAGTAACCCCTGTTTCTCAATTATAATTATCAAAATAACAAAATTCAACTATAGAATAAGGGGGTTAAGCACCCTATTATAGACTAATTACATATTGATCCAAAATTCGAAATTCAAAATCTAAAATCCTAAAAATAAGAAAATTTTATAAAATAAATATAACAGAGATTAACTTCTAAAAGTAAATAATTATAATCAAATCATTCAAAACACGTCTCAAATCTTAGATCTCAAATCATGCCAAATGTATTGCTTTTCTTTTCTTGCCAAACAAATCACAATCATATCTGCTGCTTCATTTGGACTTGGTTTGGAACGTAATTTGTTATATTTCAAATTACTGCTTCTTTCAAGAATTGAGTCATACTTATTGGGCCACAATTCTGGTTGACTACGAGCATCTTAAATGAATGGTTGAGCCATGTGCAATGGACCATGATGTACTTACAGTTGGCTCATTGCACATGTCCCAACCATTGATCCAAGAAGCTCGTAGTCAACCAAAATTGTGCTTCAATAAGTATGACTCAATTGTTGAAAGGAGCAGTAATTTGAAATATAACAAATCATGATCAAATCAAAGTCCAAATGTAGCAGCATATATGATTGTGATTTGTTTGGCAAGAAAAGGAAAACAATACATTTGGCATGATTTGAGATCTATGATTTGAGACGTGTTTTTGAATGATTTAATTGTAATTATTCATTTTTTTAGAATTTAATCACTGTTATATTTGTTTTAGGAAATTTTCTTTTTTTACGATTTTAGATTTTGAATTTTGGATCAATTTGTAATTAATCTATAAAATGGCGCTTAAGACCCTTATTCTAGGGTTTAATTTTGTTATTTGTTAATAGAAATAGAGAACAAGATGGTTTCTCTTTTGCGAAATCGTAACTTTCTGTTTAGCAATATTTTCTATACACTTTTGGCGTAAAAACATTTATTAGGTAAAACCTCGTATAGTTTAACAATATGCTTTAATGACACGCAAAAACCCATTGAAATTAAAACATTATAGATTACAAAAAAAAAAAAAACATTATAAGTTTGTAAATTATTTTTATTCATCTTTAGTTATGCTGGAACAACTAACATATATTTAATTTGTCCATATCCATGGAAGAAAATTTTATTCTTTTAGTAAAGCTTTAACTAGGAAATATATCATTAACTAAAAATTTAAAGTGATACCTGTTAATCCAGAGATTCAACACTAACTACATGCATGTCTGCTTATAGGTTATTGAGGGTATTAAAATTTCTCCTGAAGTTCAAAAAAAATGTTTAAGTGGTCCAAGCTACAAGTTAGGGAAAAAAGTTGTTGAGAAACTCTCCGAAGTGGATGAACTGTTAAAGTTGGGAATACCTTTTAAGAATGTTATTACTTACAAGCTAGAGCCTAAGCGGGTGTATATTAGGCCTTCTAAGGAGATAGTAGGCTTGGATTCAATGTTCAACCAAGTTTGGAATAGTATTGAAGATGAAAATATGGGTATCATTGGTTTATATGGCATGGGTGGGGTAGGAAAAACCACCCTTCTAGGGAGAATTCACAATGAATTTGGAAATAGGCATTGTGACTTTGTTATATTGCGGGTAGTGGTTTCTAGAGATTGTGACATCAATACAATTGTTAATGAAATTGGAAACATGTTACGTATCAAAGATGGTGATTGGAATGAAATTAGCACAGAACAAAGAGCGGGAAAGATATATCAAAAACTATGTCAAAAGAAATATGTCTTGTTGTTAGATGATCTATGGGAAAAATTGGAACTAGAAAAAGTGGGAGTTCCATATCCAAATGAAAAGTCAAAAGTGTTATTCACAACACGGTTAGAGGATGTGTGCTCTAAAATGCAAGCTCAAAAGAAATTTAAAGTGGAATGTTTATCAGAGCAAGATGCATTTGATTTGTTTTGCAGAAAAGTAGGTGATGAAACTTTAAGGAGGCACACAAAAATTGAAGAACTAGCATGGGAGATAGTTAAAAAATGTGGAGGATTGCCACTAGCACTTACTATAATAGGAAATGCCATGGCTGGAAAAAAAAGCGTTCAAACATGGAGTCAAGAAAAAAAAGATTTTACGAGTTATAGTTCCAAAGCTTCAGATTCGAAGAAAAAACTGTTTCATATTCTCAAGTCTAGCTATGATAGATTGCCAGATGAAACACACAAAAACTGTTTTCTATATTGTGCACTATACCCTGAAGATTATGAAGTCAAAGTTGATGGTATAATTAATCAATGGATTGGAGAGGGTTTTCTTGGTAAAGATAAGGCATGGAAGAGTATATATGATTTGTATGAGCAAGGAGAATCAATCATTGAAGAATTGAAGCTTTCATGTCTATTAGATGGTGTTGAATATGAATTTGAGTGGAGCTCTGTGATTAAGATGCATAGTGTGGTCCGAGATATGGCACTCTGGTTAGCCTGTGATGAAGATGCAAACAAACACAAAATTGTAGTTGATAGGGAAGCATTGGCGACATCAGATATGGATTATGAAAAGTTGAATGTTGTGGAGAGGATTTCAATTAGAGGAGGTAGTGGAAGCTGGCAAGTACCGACTTGTCCAAATCTCTTGACCCTATATGTACAATCTAATATGAACACTGATTTTTCAAATCTGCATTCGATGACAAGATTGAAAGTCTTGGATGTATCAGATAATGCCTATATTAAAGATCTCCCCATAGGGGTACTTGGAGAGCCGGCTCGCCTCAAAGATATAGATAAGTTCGGTATACGTAAAAAACAAGATCTCCCCAAGGAAATAAGCAAGTTAATTAACTTGGAATTCCTTAATCTATCAGGAACAAGAATAGAAGGGTTACCAATTGAATTGAAGAATTTGAAAAGCTTGAGGATATTGCTTATGGAAGATATTGATATTAAAATCATTCCTTTGGAAGTGATTGAAAGTCTTAAGCAATTAAAGGTGTTTAGACTTTCTACAAGGATTGAAGGAGGAAGTGAGGAGGAGAAAGCACTTCTAGAGAAGTTGGAGTCTTTACCAAAATTGGAGGAATTATGCATCCAACTAAAAACCATCACTGGCATGTATAAATTGCTTGGGTCAACCAAATTGAGGGAATGCTCCAGACGTTTATGGCTTGATGGAATCAAAGACACAATTGAAATGACACCATTATTAGCATCTTTGTCAAGTATGGAACATCTGGACCGTATAACATTATCCTTTGTAAATAACATTGTGGAAGGTTCATCCATTACTTGCCATCTTTCCAAGCTTCGTGGGGTGAATATTGATTGTTGTCATTCAATAACTCATTTAACATGGCTAAGGTATGCTCCGTATGTTGAGTCTCTTTCAGTTTCTAGATGTCATTCAATTGAAGAAGTAGTGAAGGAAGCCAAAGATGAAGGTGAAATATTCTCAAATCTTAGACGTCTTGAACTTTCTAATTTGCCAAAACTGAAGATCACCTGCATGGGAAAATTGCCAAACCTTCTGCGAGTGAATATTGATCGTTGTCATTCAATAACTGATTTGACATGGTTGAGGTATGCTCCGCTTCTTGAGTCTCTTTCAGTTTCAAACTGTTGCTCAATTGAAGAAGTGGTGAAGGAGGGTGGCCAGGACAGAGACAAAGCCAATTATGTATTCTCGAATCTCATATGGCTCTCCCTTCAATATTTGCAAAAGCTTGAGAGCATCCACCAGAGTGCATTGGCTTTTCCTTCACTGAAATTTGTTGACATTAAGGGTTGCCCAAATTTGAGGAAGCATCCTTTGAATTCCAACTATGCCATCGCCAAGGACAAATCCAAGGAGAATACAAGTGGTGGAACAATTTAGTGTGGGAAGATTGATGTAGCAGATAAAGACCTACAATTGTTGCAATCAAATTTCCGATCGTGGAAGAATACTTAAGCTACTCCTTATTTATGGATAGCACATCACATCACATCAAAAGCTTATTGGCAGGTATATATCACTTTCATAATTTGATTAGTGATTTTTTTTTTAATTTGAATCTTATTAGGGAGATGGGTTTCAAAGTTATTGATTGATGCTTTTCTATGGTAGTTTGGATTGAAATTTGTGACCTCGTTTCCACATTCTCAATGCAAATATTAGTCATAGAGGTTGTACTTTAATTGACTAGTTTCTTTTATGGGAAATTGAAAAGTTATGTTGCACAAACATAAAATTTTATTCCTACAGATACATGGAGAACAACGCCCGTTTTTTTCTTTTAAACAATTACAGCGGGCCCACAGACTTTGTGTCTGCAGGAAATTGAGGTCTTATCATGTAACATTACATACATAAACCCCTTCTTTTATTATCATTAATAGTTGATGTTTTACTATTCACAATATTAATGCTTTTATGTCTCTATTAAATAAGATGTGTGGACAATGAGTTTGATTCCCGAAAATATGAGTCTTTCGGTATAGATTGGATCGGTTTTGGAAGTAAAAATTATCCAATCTAATCTCTTCGGTTTGATCATGTAATCATCCATTCGGTTTGAAATTTTTTTCAAATCTCATCTGATCCAATCCAATTTTTTCCGGTTTGGATTGGATCGGTTTTCGGTTTTTTGAAAATCCTAAAATTTGTTTCATGATTATTGTGCAAATAACATCTTTTGTATATATTGGCTTTGTAAATTTATTTATTTTTGAAATACAAAAGCATCAGTAAACGATAATATAGTTTTGTTTTGGGCAATGAGATATGAAGCTCTACACAGATGAAATTTTGTTGATGAGATGTGATTAGGTTTTTTCTTGGATTTAGTTGATGGGTTAATGGATCTTGGGTTTAGAAATTTTTGGGCTATGATTGGGGAAAGGTCCAAGTAGGTAGAGGGAAATTAATATATTGGATCGGTTTGGATTGGATCAGTTTTCATCAATCAATCCAAAAACCGATCCAATCCAATTAAAATTTGCGGTTTTTTTTTTTGGTTTTTCGATTTTTGATTTTCGGTTTTTCGGTTCGGTCACCGCAGTTTGAACGGTTTGGATCGGTTGATGAACACCCCTACCCGAGAGTGGTAATTAACTACAGGAACATGAGAAACTAATAGACATGCCATAAAGCATATCTTGATGTCATGGGAAACTTACAGACATTTACTTTTTTTTCTTAGGGGTTCTTCATTTGAATCATATCTCAAAAGTTTCAGACTTTGCCGGATTGTCACCTTTTAAGGAGGGCTCGCTAGCAAAGGATAGAGATTGTAGAACTCTGTGCCTCAATAACTAGGCAAAAAAAAATTAAAATATTATAATTTTGATAAATAACTACAGATACATTGCTGTTTTATAACTATTTACGGGTATGTAGCAGTTATTCATGCCCAAAATGGGCAAGACAATTCACAAACTAGGCGTGAATGATTCCCGCCAAAATTAGGCATGATTAGTCAAGCCTAGGCCAGGCGTGAATGCCTTAGCCAGGCGTTAATGCCTTGGCCTATTTAAGTCCCAAAAAATTCACTTTTCACTTTCACACCTTCTCTCTAAACTTGTTCTCTAACTTCTCTCTAGATTTTTGGTGGAGAATTTCACGCAGCGAAGCCCTGTCAGACAAGTAAGTCTCCATATCGGGTTTATTTATTTTTTAAATACAACAGTACATATGTTATAGTAGTGACATAGGAATTTGTACATATAACATGTTATTATAGTGACCTAGGAATATGTTAAACTAGTGTCCTTGGAATATTTTAGTGACTTTGAATATATTATTGACCTATAAATATATTAGTGACTTAGGAATATGTTAATGACCTACAAATTGGCAGTGACCCAGGAATATTTTACTTATGTAATTTAATATATTTTTTAACCCTTGTTTTAGGCATGTAATTGTAATTAACCTAGTGATTTTTGAATATATTAATGATACCAATTAATTTGTAATTGAGTATAGTACATTATTATGACTGACTCGTCATCTTCTGAGTCACCTCGGTCTACATCCGATACTGAAGCTCAGCCTGAGCCTTCAGATCCCAAGACACACGTGCTTCCAGGACCATTCAGGTGGGATGTACTTCGGAGGCGCACGCAGCGCACACATGTTTCACTAGTTGTGTGGAATGAGGAGAAGGTTCTCCAGTGCAAGACTAGATGCAGTAGGATGCATGGGGCCATCTCCTGACGATATTCCCGACATTGTTGCAGACTACCTGTCACAGGCTGGCTTCCTACAAGTCACACGCATGCGACATATTCAGGTATGCATATAAAAAAGTAGCAATCAAGAATATTTTAATTTTAATAATAAATATGAAAAAATTAGTGTACTTGATAGTCTCGTTTATTTTGATAGTTTGTCTGTATTTATTTCAGATTGATCCCATGCTGATCAGTGCTCCGATAGAGAGGTGGAGACCAGAGACACATACCTTCCACATGACCCAGGGTGAGATGACCATCACACTGCAGGATGTTGCAACTATATTGGGTTTGCCGTCTGAAGGGAGAGTGGTCATCGAAGTTACATATTTGGACTGGCGGGTCGTGTGCCAGGACGTGTTTGGTCATGCTCCCGTCGAGGCTGAGCTCCCTTTTGGGGATGTGAAGCTCTCGTACTTAGATAAACTCTATGCACATTGGGCTGCAGTTGCTGCGGATCCTGAGCAGGTTATATTTTTTACTAAGGCGCACATTGCGCGTATGTTAGGGTCATGGTTCCTTTGCGACAGATCGAGAGGTAGCGTCGTCACATGTCGCTATATTGCATTGCTTTCAGGAGATTTTGGAGAGATTGGATAGTACAGTTGGGGATCTGCTGTTCTCGCCCATTTGTTTAGACAGTTGTGCGAGCTTACTGACCTACGCAGATCAGACATGGGTGAGTGTTATATTCTACTTCAGATATGGGCGTGGATAAGATTTCCACCTATTGCTCCCCCTCTTCCTCAGCCTACTCACCCGGAATGGCGCTACAGGCACTGGCATGTGTCATTTGTATATCTTAATTTGTTATATTTTTTATTACAAATTATTAATACTTTATATGTTTAATTTGGATAACAGGTTTAATGGTTTAGCTCGCTTTAAACTACAACATCAATTTTTATATCGGGGGACTCTAGACGCGTTATGTAGGGACAAGGTATGTTATATTTTTTATGGATTAATTATTATTATTTTATCATGGTGGTAGATACTTAAGTTATGGGAATCTTTTATATTTTTTGTAGGTAGGCTTGGCAGCCATATGACTACTATCATTTCTTGGATGCATCTGCATAGCAGCAATATCTGTGGTTGGCTAGGACACTAGTCACATGTTTCCACAAGATTGAGTACTGCCAACCAGATAGATGCATGAGACACTTTGGTTTGGATCAGCCAATACCATTAAGGCCTAGAAAGCTCAAAGGGGTTCATGATCACACGCTTCGAGGTAAATGACCTGATAACTGGGCGGTTAAGCTAAATCCATCCATACATAGATGGGAGATCAGGGAGCAGCTCATAGGTTCGCTGCCCTCTTCCATTGCCAGGGCTGATGTCACCAAACCATGAGTATATAGATTGGTATAGGCTCAGAGGCAAGCATTACGTATCCATGAGGGCTGCGAAGATTGGACGGAGTGTATGTTTTCTATTTGTCTTAGTTTTATTGTTTATTGATATAGTGCTATTAAATGTCAGTCATACTTTTCCATTTCACTTATGTAGATTGATGGTATGGAGATGTTGTACTTCACGACTACTCACGAGCATTTCTCGAGCTACAATTTAGAGTGGGTCCATGAGGAGATTGGGCGCATCATATCTGTATTCAGAGAGTCATCTAAGATGGATGAGCCAAGTCCACCGGCACCCCCGACCCAGACAAGGGATGAGCCCCAATTGTCTCTTGACATTCCTGGACGTACATAGGAGGGACGTGGGCTAGGACACCATCGAGAACCAGTGCCACCACTTCCAAAGCCTATTCACGCACCTAGGCCACGCACAGATATGTCTAGATATTTCAGGCCTCCCATGATGAGGCATACATATGGTTCTCAGCCCATTTATTTCGCGCCTCCTCAGCATCAGGATGTGCCAGAGTTTCCTTCCCATACAGGTACATAGGGTCCACCGATGGACTCTCAGAGTCAGCCAGTGTACCATGCTAGTCCAGTGCACATGGCATCGGGGTACGTGCCCTCCACACAAGGAAAGAGTAGCAGTCACGATTATCATGAGTGGACACATGGAGATGTTAACGAGTTGATGGATGAGTTGATGTTTGGAGATTGGGGTTCATTTCAGCCTACAGAAGTCACCCCACCTCCGTACCTTGTGTCTACTTCATCTCCCATATAGCCAGTCACAACAGTAGGTCTTATGCCAAAGCCAGCTCTAGCTCCAGATCCAGTACCAGAGCCATGTCCAGCTCCAGCTCCAGATGCAGTACCACGTGCAGCTCCTAGTCGTAGATTGCCACAGTGCCAGGCGCGTCAAAGGCAATGGCCTCCACCTTTGTAGTTTATTTTCTAGGACTACGTTATATTTTGCGACTAACTGTATTTGACTGGATTATGTTTGTATATTTCATGGACTATATATATTTTCTCGTGCGTAGGAGTTATTTATTTTTCTTCACATTTCTTTATTCAATCACGTAGCATAGATAATTCAACATAGATAGAGATGATATATAATAATGCACCATAAAAAGCTATGTGTTGAATACATACGTTTATAAAATCACTGGTTAGGTACACGATTAGGACAAGATCGACGATTATGTCTAGGTAGCTTGCAAAGCCCACACTTAATTCGACTTTGACTGGTTTAATCTTCATCCATCTCATTAAGTATTCTGGTGGACTT